ATATATGAATCTCTTTGGTAAGTGAATCAGACATTGAGATTTTTGAATAAGGTCTTGGGATGACAACATTTTCAAGATTCTTGAGGGAGTCACACCAGTTCTGCCACTGAGATAAGTAAGAAGAGGGAAGGGGGTCATCCCAACCAGAGGTTGTTGACATTAGTTCCCTAAGCAACGGTTTTCCTTTGATGACAACTGGTGCTGCAAAGCCCACAGGGTCGTAGAGGCTGTTTATGGTAGACAATACCCCACGCCTGGTGAAGGGCTTCCTCTCGGCACAGACTTGGAAGGTGAAAGTGTCTTTGTGAATATCCCAGGATAGGCCAAGGCTTCTTTGAGGCGGAGGAGTGTTCGTGTTGAAGTCCAAGTCCTTGATGTCCTTGGCGAGGTCCTCCGCATCAAACGCAGCTAGCACAGTTCGACTGTTGGAGGCTATCTTGTGTAGTCTTATGTTACCCCCATGTTGGAGCGCACTCTGGGTTCTCTGAATCAGATCGATGGCTTTTCCCTCTGTGGGGACGGACAGCAGTCCGTCATCAACATAAAAGTCATTCTCCACGAACCGTTTCACATCAACGTCAGCATTTTCCACTGATCGTCTGAGACCATAGGTAGCGACTGCAGGAGAGGGTGAATTCCCAAACACATGAGCAGTCATTCTGTACTCAATCAAGTCTTGGCTTGGATCATTATTTCTGTACCAGAAGAATCTGAGGTAGTCACGATGAGATGGCTTCACCTTGAAGCAGTAAAACATTTGCTCCTCATCTGCCGTCACTGCAAAGGATTCTGTTCGGAACCTGAGAAGGATTCCCAACAGATTGTTTGTGAGGTCAGGACCAGTCATTAGGACACTGTTCAGAGTGACGCCATTGTACTTCGCAGATGAATCAAATACACCCCTGATTTGTTCTGGTTTCTTGGCATTGTAAACACCAAACAAGGGCAAGTACCAACACTCTTGATCCTTTTCCAATGGAGGGGCTATTTCTGCATGTCCCTGGTCTATGACTTTTGCCATGAATGTTGTCATATGTTCTCGCTTTGTTGGATCTTTGCGCATGCTGGAGTCCAATAGTTTTGCTCGATGAATGGCATGGAATTTGTTGCATGGCAGCCTGAGAATTCGGCATCCATAATCCTCAGGAATTGCTTGTCTTCAATAGACAAAGTCTGCGTTTCGTCAAGTCTTGTTTTCTGAAAGACACTCTCCCCAAAGTCATTTCTCTCTTTGACTTCAAAATTATTAGGACAGGGCTCCATGATTGTTGTTCGACCATCCCTGAGCATGTGAGTCTTGTTAACTATGACCACATCCGGTTTGTGTACCTGCCCGAGACAGACTTCCCCAATTATTGCCCAGCCAAGGTGCAACTTCTGGGCATACGGTGCATCAGGCAGTCCAATGCGCTGATCAAGTACATGATGAGCCGCTAGCAGGTCACGTCCTATGAGCAACAGAATGTCTGCACCTGAATCAATAGGTGGGATGTACTCAGCAATGTCCCTTAAGTGAGGATGATGAATAGCTGTTTCTGGAGTAGGGATCTCCTCTCGCACATTTGGAATCTCATTACACTCTATCAAGGTGGGTAAATGTAATGATGAGGACCCGTCTAAGGCTTGAATGACATATCCTGATGCTCGTCGGCCAGACATTGTCACACAACCAGCACAAGATGAGAGTGTGTATTCAACTTCATCTCCATCTTCATGAAAATTATCAAAGAACTCACTTTTTGCAAGTGACCGGTTGCTCTGATCATCGATAACAGCGTATGAGAATAAGTACTGTTCTGGACATCCTTTTGGAAATACCTTGACTAGCAGAGTCTTGGCACATGACTTGCCGCTAACCAAATTATCACATATCTGTGTGCAAGCTGACATCGTTATTGGCTTCTCTTCATGATGTGACGCTGACAGAGCAGTAACGTTTCTCTCCCCTTCATGCTTCCTCAGCGAAGTCCTGCTGTCTGCAACTTTAGCGGAGGTTTCTCCCTCATTGTTACTGTGCATGGCGGTAGCATGCTGAACACTCCCACAAAAGAAACACTGAATGCTACCCTTGCATTCACTCGCAGTGTGCCGAGTAGATTCACAACACTTGAAGCATATTCTATGCTTACCAAGAAAGTCCTTTCTCTCACTCAGAGACAGACGTCGGAACCCCTTAATAATTAAGAGTATGTCCCTCCGATTTATCGTGGTAGGGACAGAGTCTAACTCGTTCCGTAACATTGTCTTTCTCCCCGATGTCAGTTTTCTTTGACAACAGTTTGAAGTTTGGGTTGATATTCAAGGGATGAAATTTCTTTGTGGAATTTGGTGCTGACTGTGAGTCATAAAGAAAGCTTGGATCATTTCGTATTCTAGCCTGTCTGCTTATGAATTCTGAGAACACAGAAAAGGGAGGATAAGCAACATGATACCGTTCCTTGTAGTTGACTGCTTCATTTGTCCATTTCTCTTGAAGAGCGTAGGGAAGCCTGTTCACAATCGGAGTCACGCCCGCTGAAGAGTCATAGTATGCCAGAAGGGCTGAGTACCTCTGATTGTCCTTCACAGACTCAATTTCGGACACAATGTCTGCAAGGTCATAGAGTTTATCATGATCTTTGTTGGAAAGTTTAGGGAAATTAGACAATTTTTTCTTGAGTGCAGACTCCACAAGCTCGGGACTGGCATATCTGTATCCCAGTCGTTCCCAGATCTTCTGAAGGCCACGAAGTGAATTATGAGCATTAGCAGCACGGATACTAGCGGCTTGTCTGCTGGACTCCGGGCCAAGCCACCTGACCAACAAGTCGATTTCCTCCTGCGGAGACACATTTAGTTCGTACATAATTTGTGTAAAGCTATTCTGCCACACAGCAAAATACTCCAGCTTATCGTTGAATTTACTCAACCGCGAGAGGAGGAGGTCTTTCCTCATCAAATATTTGGAGAGTTCTGAACACAAACCCAGTTGGTTTGTCACATGTCCCAATGCAGGGGGAGCTGTCATGTCTGGGACATAAGGTTCAGCTGCAGGGTTGAGCATACTATTTGGTGGAACAGTACCACGTTGAATTGTCGAGGCCTCTGGTGCATGTACTTGCCTTGGTTGAGTATGGGAGTCGTCACCATGGTTATGGAAGGACTTGAGGTCATGAACTGTGTTGCGATTACTCTGCCCGGCTTTGTGAGGTGTACTCGTACTTACGGGTATGTCTTGGTTCTTGGACACAGTTTCAACCTGGTCAAGTATCCTAGTTTCAAACTCATAAAAGGTTTGTTGGTTTTCCACAAATTTCTGAATTTCTTCGAGCTTCGCCGATGTCTGGGAAGAACGGTCGTCTCGCCTTGATTTCTTGTCAACCTCCAAGACTCCCTGCATAGCTTGTAATTCTGCCTCAGCTTCATGTACTTCACGCTGTGAAGTAAGAAGTTTCAGATTCACTTCCAGTTCAGCTCACTGTTTCTCCATCTTTGCTTCCTGTTCAGCAAATTTCAGTCGAATCTTGGGCGCTTCAGCCTTTGCTTTTTGTCTCATGAGAATAGAACTTCCACTTGAATGAAGGCTTTTGCTTCGCACAGAATATGATTCTATCCTGTCAGTGTTTGTCAAACTAGTAATTCTAGCATTAATGTCCCTCAGTGCCATCTGCACCTTATTCAAGAGTAAATCTGCAATGTTTTAATGTGCAGCCTGTACTTGTGAACTTTCTTCAGTGCCAGTTCGTTGTAAATATGCAAAGAATTCCAAATATGTTTCCTCATACTTCCCGTATTGACAGTCAATATTTGCACGCACACTGGTTAATTGTCCCAAATCATCATGTGTCGAGTGTGAACAGGCACTCTCTGTTTGCCTTGCTAGTTTGGAAAGTTTGTTGACCTAATTTTGCACGTTTTCTTGATATAGTTCGTAACCTAGCTCCGTTAAACGTCTAGATCCTTTACGTGATGCCATAGTGTAATACTCACGCACAATTCTTGGAAGAATAATGTATCAATGGATCCTACGCCTCGTGGTCATCGGAGCGCTGTGCCTCATAAACGAGAGTGGCGATGAAGGTTTTTTACTATAACGACTTCGAAAAGATGCTTGTATTGTTTCTTTAATCATCATAAACCCGTAGTACAAAAGGGGTAAAAAACCTGTACATGACAGCACTTGAGTAATGGTGATAAGACCTTTGAGTAGGCGTAGAAACCACTGATTTGAAACACGTCCTTTTTCCGCAAGTTTGAAAAAAAAGGTAAGAAATGATAACTCTTATTGACTTAGAAAGAAAGAGAAGCGTCCGTAAAATATTGCCTCGTAGGGGGCAAGACAGGGGAGGTTGTAAGTAGAAAATACCTCCCCGGGTTGGTCCCGTGCGAGGATGTAGGGAGCGTCCAGGTCATAGGCTTCCTGGAGTCCGGGCTCCGTCACCTCGCCAGTGCTCTCCTCTACCCACGGGGCGGGACCTTCTCCCCATGGGCGTGGTTGGAGCTCACTAACCGCAGCATCGGTATCCATACTCCCGCCGGACTGCGATGGTAGGACACGGTGTCCCTCTATCATCTGATGACGGTAGAGAGACAACCGATCCTCGAAACGCCTATGACAAGTCCGGCAGGTAGTACAACCATCCGATGCTGCGATGCGGACGATGAGGGAGCTGGTGATAGAATAAAATTCAATGTATGAATACTGGGCTCGCATATAACAGCATCGTTCACTCACTCACTCACTACGAGCTCTTATGCTTCAAATAAATATCATGACTAACACGTGCTATATAATACTTCCAAAGCGAATACATATGAACACCATGACGGATTGAACTAATACATATTATTCAGGGCTAGCTAAAACCCATAGCTTATAAAATACTATTCAATATCTACCTCCACTAGCACGAGAGTTTCCCGCCCTTGCAACCTGCCCCGAGGAGGTGGGCGGTGTAGGCTGGTTTGTTGAGGTTGTCCCTGAAATACAAAACAGTTTACTGAAAACATCCCAGTCAATGCTATCTATCTACAAACACACGACACACATATATTGAAACCCTATGCGGTATGAACCTCGTTAGTACTAACACTCGTACATGGATGAATGAAGTGATAGATAGATAGATAGATAGATACAAAATAGAACTCACCCCCACTAGAGGTAGACGGCCGTGCGTCATCCCGTGACGTCTGTGTTGCGCCTGTGGAGAAAAGATATGTTCAATCTATAGCATCTGAGCATATTTTATTCGAGTGAAATGATAAGCTCGAAGTCACGAATGTGATATTTTCAATACAGTTAATAACCCATGTCTTTCACACTTTTACTTCAGATGGCATTATGAACATTCAACTTACCGCTAGAATGACACCGTCGAAAATGCACGGCCAAGTCACGGGGAGAGGGGAACACCTCGGGGCATTTCTGTATGTAGAAATAAAGCAGTGTTCTTAAAGGGACTGTACGAGTTTAGTAACGATACTCGTACTAACATAGCATGATGTCCTTGTTTTCAACATAGAATGAAAATTTCCTTTTAAAAAACATAGGAAGATAAATAACAGTCCAACACATATTCGCTTAAATCTAATGAAATTACCCTTACATTCACGAAAATAAACTTACGCTACAACGGTATTCCGATAGGCGTTGTTGCGAGCAGGCAGCGCACTTGTGCTGGTGTAGTTTTTGTTTGGAAGCAAAACTTTTAGTGCAATGGTCGCAAACAAAGCGCTGCCCTTCGTGAGCAGACCTCCTGTGGCGGTTCACATTCCTTTGAGAGGAATATAAGTTTCCGCACTCAGGACAGGTGAATGGTCTGAAAGAAATAACCTGTCTATCAAATCTCGCTAGAGATACAACATTGTTTTCTTTATAAAGTTGGTAATGAGAGTTACTCATAATCACTTTTACTAACACATACCTTTTCACTCAGCCTAAAACATGTGTAAGCTGTATAGTATTCTCATTTAATATAAACGAAATAAGTCATTAAGAAATACACTTACGCGTTTGATGAATCCATGTTTTCCTTGCTGACTGTTGAAACTGAAATGACGCTCTGATATTCGGGGTGGTGTTTATATAGGATGTTTCTATGATGAATGATTGCCATATAGTAACTGGCCATTCAACGCACCTGTATAGCTCACTGTAAGCATGACTGACAGCTTGGGATACGGACCACCCATATACCCATATAGATGCACCTGTATATCTGTCTGTACGGTCACACGGGAAAAGATGTTGAACATTGAGCAATTCAGATATTATTATTATGTACACACCTGCGTGTTGGCTATCTCGGTGCCTGACCTCAATGTTAGTAGTATAGTCTAGGCTAGTATAGACATAGTATAGTCATCCTATCCGATTAAGGGTGACTATTGTAAACATGAAAATGTCTTATAGATGGCTTCCATCACTTTCCCAACGAACCTAGCTTCGTGCCGTCACACTGCTACATGTACTCATCAGTTTTCTATTGAACATAGACATGGTTCTAACTATCTATTGTCAAAATAGCACGTTCTGAAGTAAAACTGTGCACATCATGTTACACGGTTAAAACTCAAACCGCACGGTTTATTTGTCATCGCGTTAAATGGAAACGCTAGCATTGAAACATCAACTATGCAAGTCGGGACAGATCTGAATAAGTCAACGCCCTCTATACAAATGGTTCACAATAGTACGCAGCGCGGGGTGATTCGAAATCCGGCTGCCTTCAGCGTTATAGTCAATGCAGGGTGACGCCACGACCTCGTTCTTGCGCGCTAAATGTAATTAAACGACACTGCTAGCTTGCTGATTGCGTAGTCTTATCTATTTTGTCTATATTTTTTTTCTATACAGGTTGTCTAACGTTCGTGGTGTACAACGTGTAGACCGTACAAGATGAATTTGATCCAGCTAGACGTACATTTTTGTGTGTGCCTACATTACCCGGCGTATATCGTGTTGACATAACCCGTCTCTATTGTGGTACTTGTACTTTCAACACACACCCTGCATTCATCAAACCAGGTCGCACGCTCTAGCGAGCGCGGGTTAAATGACGAGGCCACGTGAGTTGTCAAGCGCGCTCAATTCAAAATGGGCTGACGGGTACGGTCTGTCTATTCAAGGCAGCACGCTATACACATAGCTCTATTCATAACCTTTTACTTTTGTTTTCTTATGAATTCTTTTCTGCCTTATAAACACACACCTTTCATTCCCCCTCACCTGTGACGCGCTGTTGATGCATTAGTCATCCTATCCGATCACGTGACTTGGATCAGCCAATCACCTTCGCATCCGCCTGGATCAACCGGATCAACCAAAATGGCCTTCTGCGGACTTAGACTATACTATTATCGTGACAGAGAATGTATCATAGGTGACCATAATATAGAACCAAAATCAGCTGTACGAGTTATTTAACAGTGCGCTAAAACTGATGTAAGTCTCGCATACCTCCATCTTCCCGAGGTAAGAGAGTGAACTGACTTTAAAAGTCCAGTTTCCACCCTTGCCGAACTAGGCTGGAATTCCTGGGCTCGATCGTAGCGCCACCAGTGGCTATTTCGAGTTATGTCCTTTCTATGCCTCTCCCATTGACCAATCAGATTCAACTGATCGTATCACTTGCATTTGCTTCAAACAAAACGGCGGCGCCCAGTCAAGACGGTCTGATCGATAATGAAGATCTATATTGTGATAAAAACGAGTCTTACAACGCGAAGTGCATCAAATCACGTGAGCACCTTGATTAAAAACATGAAAAGATTTAGAAAATATCTGTTGACAACGAGTTAGCGGTGCACATGCTTTGCAAATCCTGCAATCGACCGAAATGTGCATGACACTTTACGAATCGGATTTCGATTCCGGTGCGCGATTTTGATTGGACTATGCATAGACTCGTTAGTCCAGCCGAAATGTAACTCCATAATACCAGCCTAGTTCGGCAAGGGTAGAAACTGGACTTTTACAGCCAGTTAACTCTCTTGCCTCGGGAAGATGGCATACCTCAGGAAAAGATGGTCGATGGAAATTGCAGCAGTGGTGTATACAGAACATGGATTTTACACCTCCATATAAAGGTAGTCTGTAGAGGACAGTTTCACACACCGTTGAGATGACTCCAGCAGCTTCAGTACGACGCAGTGGCCAGGTAGGGGACATTTCTGTTATCTGATATCCACCATGGTAAATTTATATATACTCTTAGATAGAAATATATAAGAGATAGATAGTTATAGTTGAATGATAATAATGAACAGAGTGGGAACACATTACAACCGGTAGTGAAGCATGAGAGTAGGTGTTATGACCGGACGATCTTGAAGGACGATGGTGGTAAGATGGTAATACCGCTACGAATTTTCAAAATTCACTCCTCTTGCAGCGCCTGTCAAAGTTCAGCCAGCGTGGTCAGTGGCACATTATGTTGACGTACGCGTCTCCCTGTCATGACCCAGGCATGTTCAGTGGGGTAAGGATCTGGGCGCATTGCTGGCATGGCATTCTATGGATGTTGTGCTGCTGGAGGCGAGCATTGACGACTTGTGCACGGTGAACACGGGCGTTGTCCTAAAAGACAAAACGTCGACCTGCACGTCTAGCAAACCGGACAACAAAGGATGTCAGTATGGTTTCCCGGAACCGTTCTTTGCACAATATGGAGTGGGGTTTTCTGTCATAGTGATGCCACCACACACCATAACCGATCCACCGCCAAACCCGTCATGTCATTGGATGACATTGGTTTGACGTTAATTTCGACGTCGCCAGACACGACCACGCCTATCAAGGAAGAGCAAAGTGAATCGGAAAACATGACATGTGACCAGCGACGATTATCCAAGCTTCGACGTTGAGTACACCAATGACGTCTGTTGTCATAATGACGTTTTGTATGGGGCGGCACAACAACATATTGTCGTCGAGTATAAAAATCAGCGAATTCTCCAGCATTCGTACTCCAGTAGCCGGTTGAAAGTATGTCGCGTTTGATTCGCCGATTGAGCTCGATTTCGTTGAGCCTTGTACCGATCAATCCATCCTGCACTCTTGTCGTTGACCTGGGACGCCCTGAACGGGGTCGATCGTCAACATTTTGGGTTTTGTTGATACCTGATCCATAGTCTGCGCTCCCCGGCTGCGTCATACCAAAAGACGTTAAAAGATGGTACTTGTTGTTACCCTGTTGTTAAGGAGCTTAAACAAGGACTGGTCGACTCGGAGTCGCTATACTGTGTCTGAGTGGGGTATTCATGTTAAACTGCGGCATGGTATCTTAGTGGGCTAGCACTATAAATCGGCATGAGTCCCGACTAGTACAAGCAACCACACACACATGTGCAAGCACGTCGCTATATAAGTGCAATAATCTTGGACGCGACGTTAAACCCCATTTCACCTCACCTCACCTCACCTCACCTCACCTCACAATTCCAGTCAGTAAGTTTTCTGAAGCCACCCTGAAAAACCCATTTACGGCAGCTTTGAGGTCAGAAACCACTTTATTCCAGGTCTGGCGAGTATGGAGGGTGAGGAAGCTCTTCGAACCCACATTGTCTTTGCAAGTCGAGAGATGTAAGAAGAGGCATTGTCATGGAGTAATATAACTCCTGCAGTCAGCATTCCTCATCGATTTTCTTTGAAAGAATCTCCCAGGCGATGAAGCAAATCAGATTTCTAAGTAATCAACATGGATCACACCCTTTCTTCACTGATCTTGAAGACTTGAATTTCTTTTGTGTCGAAGAAATGAAATTGTGCCATTCCATGGATTGACGTTTTGACTCGGGATAATAGTAATATATCTATGTTTCATAACTCGTTACTAATCTCTTTCTTTAATTTGACGAAATCCTCCTTAATCCTCTAAATTTTCTCTGCCAATGTCAGTTCTTTTTTCCTTGAGATCAGAATTTAGATATTTTGGCACCCAACGAGCAGATATCTAATTCATCTGTAAATGTTCATGAATAATAGTTTCAATCGATCCATGGCTTACATGTCTTCCCTAGGTTTTTCTATCTCCTTGACTGAATCTTTATTGATGGAAGACCTGGTGTCATCATCAAGCTTCATCAAGCATCATCATAAAACATAGCTGCCCATACACTTGTGACATGCTGTCATAAATCTTTTAGGGAGTTCTTTCCTCTAAGGTCGAAAACTTGATGACTGCTCGGTACTCGTTCATTTCCATTTCTGTGTCCATTTGGACCATCATTACGTTCGACTGGCTGTCACTATAAAGGGCCTAACAGACTAATGACACTTGCAATGAACTACTCAAACACTGTACTTCATTGCCTAGTTCCCTTTGTTATGGCTCAGTCAGACTTTTAACTGTTTGACCAGTCATGCGCACACACAATAGACCATTTCAGAAGTACTTTATGAACCGGAGTGTATGACAGACAATGGTTGACTCTGTATTTCCATAACGGGGGACCTGTACACTTGCCAGGGACCTGTATATGTGTTCTAGAACTGATATCTGAAACCCATAAATTAATCCTGCCTTCACTGAAGCTTCTAAATATCACTTGAATATATAAACGTTAATATCCGTAAGTGCATCGCTCTGGGTTTCCGCCAACATATACTTTAAAGTAGAAGCGTTGACAGAAACGTGTAACTCATCTTGTCACCCTTGTTCATTCTAAAGGGGGCACCGGTGGCCCAGTCGTCTAAGGCGCGCCGATACGCTTTGCAGAGTTGCGTCCCTTGGGCACGCCAGAAACCTATGATTGTGGGTTCGAATCCCGGTCCGCCCCGATTATGTTTCTAGGTTTGTCAGCACCATACCCGTGCTCGTGGGTTTCACCGAAGTGGTAAACGTCTGAGACCTGCATCACTTCGGGCTTATAAATTACCTCCCACATTAAGCTGACACGCCGTGATATAACTAGAATACTGTTAAAAGCGGCGTTAAACCAAACTCACTCACTCACTCATTCTAAATACGCCATTCATAAAAGACATAAAACTCAAGTTATGTTTAAGGAAGCGATGGTTGACATCTTTAATATCGCAAAGACTAAAAAAAACAATGAAAGGTGAATTAATTGAATGAGTTCTAAAACCCGGAAACTTTTCATCAGAATTACACTTGGCTCCTTCACACTTGAATAGTATACAGGGTAGACATGAACAGCTCATTATCATAACATCAAGAATGTGAACACGTAGGCGAGCGTAAGATTATATAAAAGATATCAGTCATATAAGTACATGAAGACAAAGTGAAGTGTCTGTGTCAGTGCGGTGGTGATGGGTGAAACCGCTTGGAACTGTACACCAGTTGGTGGATCAAGTCAGCGTGGTGATGGGTGAAACCGCCTGGAACTGTACACCAGGTGGTGGATCAAGTCAGCTCAAAGTGGGTGTTGCAGTCGGAGTGGAAACTCTAAATGATTTATGTTTTGGTAAATCCCACAGACAGTATGATTCTGAGAAACAACATAATTGGGGCAATGGTGGGATTCGCACCCACGACGAACGGATCCTGACACAGCATGGGGAGTAACCAGGCATGGGTTTCCAGAGTTTACAAATACAGTCTGAAGGATATACCCACAAAGGAAAAGCTTCTCATATCTTTGAATCGCTGCCAAAGATTTATGCGAAGGACAAGATGTTTAGACAATTTACAATGATTTAGGGACCGACCATTTGAAATTCAAGGGAGGGGGTTGGGCCTAGGAGTTTACCGTGAGTATATCTTAAACAATTATTTTCGATTATTTTCTGGAAATTTCGATTTCTTTCTCGTTATTCGTTATTTATAACGGGAAAGTATTCGATGTTTCGAGAGAAAAAAAATTAAACAAGTGAAATAACGAGAAAAGACGATTTAAAATGAGAGACATGGTGCTTCCAAAGGGGCAGATTAGGCTTTTTAACTGAAGCGGTAGTAAAAGGTATATACATGTAGAAAAACACAAATGAGGACATTAAGGAAAAATATCTGGCGAAACACTACACGTTGAGCACTTTGTTGAAACTCGCGAGCAAGGCAAATAAAACATAGACGACTTTTTACACAAGACAGAACACTATACACAAGACAGGGCATTATACACCAGACAGAACACTATACACTAGATATATGAAACATAAAATAATATCACACAGTGATAACGAAAACTGTGTCGTGTAATATTTTGTATGTATACCATGGTCTGCAAAGCTTTAGATGTGATATTTGTGGTGTAACACTTATAATCTACCTATATGTGACGGATGAGCATCAATTTGTGTGACGTCAAAAGATGATGCAATGGCACCATTATTTGAAGCATTACCTTAAAGTGAGTTATTCTAACATTCCAAACATCGAAGATTTCTAAGAAATGTTCAGTTGCAAAAGGTTAAAATTGAACATTGCTAATTACAGAAGTGTAATGTAAGAGCTATCTACTACAGATATTTTCGTACATGTAGCTTCCATGGGAACGTTGTTACTTGGTACATTCCACGTCAATAGTGGGACTCGGTTTACGTTTAAAAGATTGGCACAAGGTAAAGTTTAATTGAAATGTGGCTGCACCATTAACTTCGATTACGTTAACATACACAGACTACTTTCCGCATTTCACATGAACCAGTCCGTCATTATTAAGGCGGATTAATGTGGATTAATTATTTAAATGTCATGGGCTTTGGATTAAGGTTATTTTCGACACTTGGATGACGACATTTGAAGCTACGCAACGTAGATCTGTCTTTTCAATGCAAATACTAAATGATGTTGCAAGTTACTCTTAGCATGAGCCCTTGCTAAGATCAAGCTACATTCTACATGAGAAGGCTTTGTTTTCTATGCCGCCATTGTAGGGAGGGGAGCTGCCGTTCTGGACGTTAACGGTGTAGGGTTTCTTGATACCATTAGCATGGCCAAGGCTTGCGTATTTCCCTGTTCGATCCTCGGGATTGGCAGGTCCCCAGCTTCTTGTTGGGCTGAACGCTTTCAGCTGCAAAGAAATCAGTACCTATATACGTGTCTGCTGGAATTATTGATGGTCCTGGATTGCAGATCATATTTAGTTTGTTAACTTTCTTAATAATGACTCTTTGTTCATCAATTGCTCCTTTTATTTTCTATTCAAATTCATTCAATTGTGTATCATAGAATAAACATTGTATGTCCAACATTGAAAATGCCCCAATAGAAATGTAATTACGTAGATTGTTTAACGCCACACTCAGCAATGTTCCAGAAAGATCACGGTCTATTAATGTCTGGACAAACCAAACCAGTGATATGGTGGGAAATGTCCCACGCCGTCAGGATCACGTGACACGGGATCAATGAAGTCACCGAGCCTGACCATCTGGTCCTTTCTAGCCACTCTTGCGAATGTCTTCAAGGAAAGATATTGTTAATGCAACGACTAAGTTAGTTGACAATTATTACAGCAATAATAATTATAATCTGGTCTGCACTGTCTATCTGAACATGTCCAAACCTTGGTCACTGTGTTTGTGCTACTTACCGGGCCGAGTCTTATTATCTGAATTAACATGACGAGGAGTATCATAGCAACAGGGGCGAGAACCATGCACCAGCCAATGCCTTCAGCCCACGGGGGGAACTCGTAGTCTCCGTAGTTGGCAGGGGCGTACTGAGTGGCCGACACGATCACGATGAACTAGAAATATTGATCAATAGGCTAAGTGCAAATCATTCAAGTGTGCAAATAGATTTGAGTTAATTAATCAACTTGCCCCTCCATTTCGTTTACATATGTATTCTTCAATAACTTTGGTTTCGAATTGGCATTATGGTCGCGAAAAGAATATCTGGAAGTATTTCTATCTTAAACCCCACGAATACATAATGTTAATACGTAGCTACCAGTTCCCAGAATGTTGATAGCAAATGTGGCAAGATGTTGATTTCAAGATTAAATGCATTAACACCGTGCTCTTCTATCACCCAGTGTGAAATATGACGTCAGTACTTACAAGGATGACGACAGGGGTCAGGAAGACCCAGTTGATGACCCAGTATGGGTTGGGTTTGTGGCCAATCATCATCTTGATGTCCTCCAAGAACGGGACGATAGTTCGTTTACCTTGGTGCTGTGGCCAGAACCAACCCACCAAAGCTTAAATGGTAAGGAAACAGTCAATTAGAATATAAATTGAAGAAAGATAAGGGTGAAAACATTTTGATGACAGACATGACAACATCAATTCCTAGCGTTATACTTACGATAGACATACATGAGGCAGATGATCTCCGACAGAGCCACCAGCATCAGGTTGTAGCTGCCAGTGTACCAGTCCATCAGTGTCAGCATATAAATACCACCCTGGAGAAAAGCAATATTATAGATGACCCTGTATCTAATGTCCAGTGGCGGCAATTTTGACCCTCTTATGTAAGTAATGTTCTATCATTGGACCTGCAAGTTTGTTAAGTGTGTATCCTATGTCCTCAAATATGACAATTTTAGCAATTTAACACGCGCGAATACTTCCATACTCAAGACTGTTCATTGCAGGGACATCCTAGAAATCAGTCATTGAGTGAGTGAGTGAGTTTGGTTTTACGCCGCTTTTAGCAATATTCCAGCAATATCACGGCGGGGAACACCATAAATGGGCTTCACACATTGTACCCATGTCCGGATTCGATCACGGGTCTTCGGCGTGACGAGCTAACGCTTTAACCACTAGGCTACCTGAACGCCCCTCCAAATTTGGAGAGACACGCAAGGCCAAGCCATCTAATACGCCGAAATTAGCAATATAATGAGTGGAATCCTCTGGTCGTTGGTTTGAATTCCCTCTAAACATATTTCTATATGCCACCTTTTGGCACCCAGATTAATACTCATAAGTGTTGCAAGCAGGTCCAAAGCATTTTACTGGTCGCAGATTCTCCAACATCTTCTTTATATCAGTTTATGACATGTACACCGAGTTTGCCTCGTTTTTGTATATATATATATACCTGATACCAGGTGTTCGCGTCAATTGTTCACCTGAAAAAAACATATGGTACAAGTCAAAATAGGGAATTGCATCGGACATCATTTTTGTCACTGATGCGTCAAATATGGAAATGTCCTCCCCATGTCTACCTTAAACCTTTAAAGCTTTACTGAAGCCTTATGAGGGGAACATTGACAATTGGAAAGCTGTCACGAAACATTTATACTGTTTCACTCTTTACCTTTGTCACTTGGGGCAGCCCGAGAAGAAAGCCAATCAGACAGCAGATGGCAGTGAAGAGAACTTTATGCTTCCTCAGGACACGTGGGAAGACGTCACTGATGCCGCTGATCAGCGTCTCCACCATGGCAAACTATTGTCAGATACATTAATGTCATTGCCTTGTTACAACACATACCAATCCTTAGTTCAAAACCCATCATTTGTCAAACTGAGTAACAGCACATGCAGATGTAGACAAGATGAATCGATTCTATCCGTTTCAGTGAACAGACACAGCATAAATTCTCTAAGAACATGAGCTCAATCACTGGACACGATGTAATATGAGGTTCCAACATTTGAATTTGATCATCCACGTCGGCAGTTATAGTGTAAGGAGACTTTCTGACATCGTTGACATTTTCGACTTTCAACATTAAGTGCTATGTATAACACCAGTTCATTGTAGGTGGAAGGGGAATATGCAATGTCTCATTTGTTTTATTTTAATTTGAATATTGCTACACAACCTTTGTCAAAAATGTTCTGACCCGAAATATTCTGGAAGTCAGTCTTCAATGTATTTTACATGACCAGATTTCACAATTTTCGAAAGTATAAAGAGGCCTGTGTGTCCTACCTGACTGTCCAAACCAAGGGTCAGCAGCATGAAGAAGAACAGGAAGGCCCACAGTGGTGACACCGGAAGTTTAGATATGCCTTCTGGGTAGGCAATGAAAGCAAGACCAGGACCTGAAATATATTTAGTGTTTTATAGTCCCGGGTTAAGAGGGAAAAACCAAGCTGTCAAACATTCATTGGTATGATTAATAGTTTCAAAGATAATTATTACCTTGGTCGACCACGCTCTCCACGTCCTGGTTGGTGCTGTGCGCCATGAAACCCAGGAGGGAGAAGACGGCAAAGCCGGCGAACACACTGGTGCCACAGTTGATGATGGCGACGATGAGGGCATCTCTAAAGGTAATAGCGTTAAAATATTGTTTAGCGTGAAATACACACAATGTGGTGGGAGGCATGTGTAGTCCATAAATATAGTGATTCGTGTCGTGTTTGGAAATGAATGGTTGGTTCCGTGTTATTATGGTATCTGTTAACTGTTATGTTTTCTTGTTGATGAACGCCGCGCTCAACAAAATTTCAGCTACAAGACGGCGGCCTGTAAATAATCGAGTCCACACCAGACACCCAGTGATCGATATTGTGATCAAAGGTCCTGCTGTCGGGGTACGATGACGCGCCAAGAACTGCGAACCTGACCACCCGCTCCATTTTATCGTTTCTTATGACAAACATAGGTTGATGGCGACCCCATGGGGCTCTTATGAAATGTTTTGTACAGTGTAAGTTGGAAGACAAACATTAGTGATATTTGAATTACTGTTATATTTACACGTATCGTTATTAAACATCACCCAAATGGTGTGAATGGTGTCGCCAGAATTACATATTTGCATACTAGGGCCAACCATGCATTGCCTCATGGAGTCCTCACCGTTCACAGTTGTTCTTAAACTTGTTGAAACTGGACATGGTCAACAGCCCTCCGAATCCAGCACCCAGGGAGTAGAAGATCTGAGTGGCTGCATCTCCCCATACCTGGACAAGAATACAGATGGTTGAGAAGACAAACAAACACTGAAGAACATGGACTGGGAAGCAGAAAGCCACACAATTAAACCAACGACAAGACGCACAAATAACACAATTCTTGACATGTATGTCATACACTCTCCAGGCACACGAGGCTGTCACAATGCATTAGAAGAAGGAACCAGGCTGACGCCATGTCCTCAAGATGCGGACGCGCTGTCATTACAAAGTGATGTTTGCTTGGATACAGTGTCCTACAGAGGCATAGTGTATGCTTGGATTCAATGTCCTACAGAGGCTTAGTGTATGCTTGGATACAGTGTCCTACAGTGACATAGTGTATGCTTGGATTCATTGTCCTACAGAGGCATAGTGTATGCTTGGATTCAATGTCCTACAGTGACATAGTGTATGCTTGGATTCAATGTCCTACAGAGGCATAGTGTATGCTTGGACTCAACGTCCTACAGAGGCATAGTGTATGCTTGGATACAGTGTCCTACAGAGGCATAGTGTATGCTTGGATTCAATGTCCTACAGAGGCATAGTGTATGCTTTGGCTCAATGTCCTACAGAAGCATAGTGTATGCTTGGGTTCAATGTCCTACAGAGGTATAGTGTATTCTTGGATTCAACGTTTCACTGTCCTGCCAGCCACACACTGGATGCTTGGCCACAGATTGTCAGATGCACTGATGTGATAACAACTTCACGTTTGACCGTAGAGGATCTACTATTATATCAAATGTTGGATGGGAAAAGAGTTTTCAAAAGTATCGTAAGAGCGCAGTTGATCAGAGAGCGCGTGTGGCTGTCGAGATAACAATGTCTACAACAACATTAGACTTCTATAAACCTTCGTATAAACCTCTTTACCTTTGCCTCCGTCAGCCTGTGGAGCTGTGGAGTCATGTAGAATGTAATGCCCTTCTCGTATCCCTCCAGAGTCAGGCCTCGGATCAGCAGGACCACGAGGATGATGTAGGGGAAGGTGGCGGTGAAGTACACGACCTGGGAGGATTATAAAAGTCCTTTATCGTTTCCTGTCGGGTGTGTGCTCCATATCTTAGGGGTATGCGTACACATATCTAAAGGCCAGTCTACGACAATGAATGACAACAATTTAAAAATTTAAGTCTTGATTGTGTCACATGAACAAAATGACATCATATCAAAGCCACTGGTCAATGTAAACGTTCATCAAACGTATGATTACTATGCAGAGTTACATCCCCTATTCCATACAGTTGAATACCAAATCGTGATTTTGTTTTTACCTAAAGCCTGAATATTTTCGGCTTGTATTACTTTTGCCCTTGCTCTTACATGAAGCGACGTTTATTTGTTTCCAGACTGCATTACGTTTGTCATTATTCTTCTGTTAAGCTAACACATTGATATACTCTGATTTGATAGTATAAAAACAGACCTTGCCGGATGATTTCACTCCCTTCATGAGACAGGCGAATATGAGGAGCCAAGCCAAAAACAGACAGACTGCGTTCTTCAAGCTGACGCCACCAATGTCTTCAAAACCATCAGATTCGTGAAGACGGAGGACATACCGCCTTGAAACAAAGACACAACCAGAGTGACCGCAAGCTTAAGCTGCTTGTAGCAAGTTTCGGCAATACAAATCGAACTTTATCAGTGGAGTGCCTGCCGTCGTAGAGGCCGGTATGCGATGATGCTGAAGATGGCATCATTGCTGTTCTTCTTGCAGTATTCAGCACTATACGAAACACATGTACGGATATCTGCACCATCAACACACAGTGTACACGTTGTCTGAGTGTCTGTAAATCTTATAAGCTCTCATCATGTTTGGTCTCGGAGCCGTCTGCACCATTTCTGTACTTCTTGCACCGTACGAAACAACACATGAACAGCATGCACTAAACCCTTTAATATTTAGCACATGAGGACATATATGTTCTATCTCCCAGTATTCAGCACTTGAGGAGACACATATCTACAGCATGTACTTACACTCAAGTACTTACTCCCAGTATTCACCACTGGATGACACACAGATACTTACTCCCAGTATTGTACACATAATGACACACACATATACTTACTCCCAGTAGTTTAAACATGACGCACACATATACTTACTCCCAGTATTTTACACAAAGTGACAAACACACTGATACTCCCAGTATTTTACACATAATGACACACACATATACTTACTCCCAGTAGTTTAAACATGACGCACACATATACTTACTCCCAGTATTTTACACAAAGTGACAAACACACTGATACTCCCAGTATTTTACACATAATGACACACACATATACTTACTCCCAGTAGTTTAAACATGAGGCACACACATACTTACTCCCAGTATTTTACACAACGTGACAAACACACTGATACTCCCAGTATTTTACACATAATGACACACACATATACTTACTCCCAGTATTTTACACATAATAACACACACATATACTTACTCTCAGTAGGTTACACATAGTGACACACACATACACTTACTCCCAGTATTTTACACATAATGACACACACATACTTACTCCCAGTATTTTACACATAGTGACACACACATACACTTACTCCCAGTATTTTACACACAGTGACACAAACACATATACTTACTCCCTATATTCTACATATAGTGACACGCACATATACTTACTCCCTATATTCTACATATAGTGACACGCACTGATACTTACTTCCATATTTTAAACATACTGATACACACATATACTTACTCCCAGTATTGTACACATAATGACAAACACAAATATACTTACTCCCAGTAGTTTACACACAGTGACACATACGTATACGTACTCCCAGTATTTTATAAACAGTGACACAAACACATATACTTACTCCCAGTATTTTACACATAATGACACACACAGATACTTCATCCCTGTATTCTACATATAGTGACACACACTAATACTTACTTCCATATTTTACACATAATGACACACACACAGATACTTACTCCCAGTATTCTACATGTAGTGACACACACACATACTTACTTCCATATTTTACACATAATGATACATACACATATACTTACTCCCAGTATTTTACGCATAATGACACACACACATATACTTACTCCTAGTATTTTACACATAATGATACATACACATATACTTACTCCCAGTATTTTACACATAATGATACATACACATATACTTACTCCTAGTATTTTACACATAATGACACACACACAGATACTTACTCCAAGTATTTTACACATAATGATACACACATATACTTACTCCCAGTTATTCTATATATAGTGACACACACTGAAACTTACTTCCATATTTTACACATAATGATACACACAGATACTTACTCCGAGTTATTCTATATATAGTGACACACACTGATTCTTACTTCCATATTTTACACGTTATGATACACACACATATTTTACACATAGTTACTAAGATACTTACTCCCAGTATTCGGCGCTAGGTGAGAAGAATCGTAGTTTGCAACCATCGGTGAATTTATCCTGGACGATTGTGGTGTTCAGCTGTGATATGTTGGTGAAACTGGTGTTGTATTTGTCAGAGAAGTTTCCAAGGAGCTCGTGAACACATGATGTGTTGTACAGTTGATCTTGAAAGGGAAAAACTAGCAATATCAGTCGAAGCATAATTATCATGATGAGTATTATGACTATAATAAGGTGAGCTGTTTGCTGTCATGTGGCAGTATAGGTATAGGCTTACTGTACCTAAACGAGGGCAGTTCCAGACCCGTGAAGATCAGAGTAAGAATACGTCTTCAGCAACCTAGCCCCAAAAGGCGACTATGATTGTCGTAAGAGGCGACTAACAGGATCGGGTGGTCAGACTCGCCTACATTGTCGATACATGTCATCGTATCCAAATTGCATAGATCGATGCTCATGATGTCAATCACTGGATTGTCTGGTCCGGACTCGATTATTTACAGACCGCTCTCATATAGCTGGGATATTGCTGACTGCGGCGTTAAACAACAAAGCAACAACAAGAAATTCAAGACATTCTACGACTGGACTTGCACTTAACGACCTGCCAAGGACAGGATACTTTATCGGAAAACACCAACTTATCTGCCCGATTCCTGGATTCAAGAACGGAGCATGTTCCTCATGTAAGACACTCAACAGTGATACATACTGGACACTCATGGGTGCACTGATTTTTGTAATTGGGCATATTATTTATTGCTGCTACCGCGTACATGACAACGACGGTGTTGTTGTTTGACTGCAGTATGTTCTTAATTCTCCACGAGGTGTACATCGTGTTGTGAAACTTTTCAAGGATTGCTACTTCCTAGGCCAGAGATACTATGTCGGCATGTAGATTATCACGTCTAGGCCAAGCAAATCAGTACGTTAGCAACCATTTATGCGTGCACCATGACAAAGTACCAGTGACCAGATCATATATCTATATAACATATATATGCACATCACCAATGCGCCAGTTCAATACACTGGTACATGTTCATGGCGCTGCAGAGGACAAAACATAGAAAAATAGAAACTTTAACTGCATGGTAGGGTGTGAAAAGGTGTGTCAAGGCTGCTGTCTGAAGGTAGAGAGTTCATAAATCCTGACGCACAGTGGTAGTAGGTCTGTCTCCATACAAAATGACTATTTAGCGAGGGACTGTCGCGAGATTTTGGCCCAGAGAACGAAGACCACGTACATGAGTATAAGGCGTTACAAGATCAGAGAGATATGCTGGAATGGTACCACGAAGACAGCTACAGGTGAGAAGTTTGAAGTAAATTCTTTCTTTAACCAGCAGTTCTTGAAGGACAGGTGTAATATGGAAGGTTTTGGAACTTTGAATATTACGGCCCACATACCGTAGAGGGTATCCAACTTGTTAGTTTCATTCATTACATCAAGAGCCGGGAAGCTGGATCTGCAGAGTTTAGTGTTCCACGTGTTGTTACACCCGTCCCAGGGTACGGTGTCGTCGAGGTGGACGAAGCTGGCAAACATGTAGTATATGGCGTACATGATGATGACGTTGTAGTAGATGGACACCATTCCGCTGATGGTCACCATGGCAAATCCGATACCTGGAATATGGAGTAGTTTCTGATTCACAAGATGAAAAAGTTGTCGTTTTAAAGTGAGTGAGTGAGTGAGTTGGGTTTAACGCCGCTTTTAACAGTGTTCCAGTTATAACACGGCGTGTCAGTATTCCGGTTATATCACGGCGTGTCAGCTTAATGTGGGAGGAAAGCCCGAAGTGATGCAGGTCTCAGACGTTTACCACTTCGGTGAACCAACCTAGAATCATGATCGGGGCGAACCCGGATTCGAACTCATAATCATGGGTTTCTGGCATGCCCAAGGGACGCAACTCTGCACATCGAATCGCGTCGTTTTATACGACTTGGCCATCCAAGCCTCCCGTCGTTTAAAAGGTACAATGTGGAGTGATAAACGTTTACGACTTTGGTAACACAACAGACACAGATGGTTACCAACAGGGAATCACAATGAGGGTGAATGTGAAAGTTAAACCCATAGTCAGCAGATCCTGGAACAGTTGAGGGACGCCACTCGGTTGACCATAATATGTTCTCAGCTGAACAGAACAGAACAGCTGGATTTTAACGGAAGAATTGATTGAATTATACGAGTTCCCTTCATCTGCTTTCAATAAGCCATGTGTATAATGTCCCCATAAGCATGTGATGACGTCCTTCATTATCAACATGAATGTAATTCCTCTCAGAGACCGGGTTTGATTCCCAACATAGGTACAATGTGTGAAGCCCATTTCTTGTGTCCCCCGTCGTGATATTGTTTAAATATTGCTAAAAGCGGCGTAAAACCATACTCATTCATTCATTCCTCGTATATTGTAGGTTCCTTTCTGAATGATGTAAAAAGGTTTTGTCACTTACCATGGAACGCCGGGCTGACCTTCCACACTGTGATCGGCCCCTCGGAGGCGAACTGACCTGCGGCTAGCTCCAGGAAGAATAACGGCAGACCAGCCACCACCAACATGATGACGTACGGGATGAGGAACGTGGCTGTAAACAAAGCAAGAATAATGTGGACTTGGTCAAGTGATAAAGGACATGCTTGCACATAAAACAAAACACCTGTGGACTTGGTCAAGTGATAAAGGACATGCTTGCACATAAAACAAAACAACTGTGGACTTGTTCAAGTGATTTAAAGGACAAGCCTGCTCATAAAACAAAACAACTGTGGACTTGTTCAAGTGATTTAAAGGACATGCCTGCACGTTAAACAAAACAACTGTGGACTTGGTCAAGTGATTTAAAGGACAAGCCTGTTCATAAAACAAAACAACTGTGGACTTGTTCAAGTGATTTAAAGGACATGCCTGCACGTTAAACAAAACAACTGTGGACTTGGTCAAGTGATTTAAAGGACATGCCTGCAAACAAGACTGGAGAAACGTGAACTTTTTGACAGAGCTGCAAACAAACCAAAAAAAACTACGAAACATCTCTTTGTGATGGAAAATGTACACTGATTAATACTTGAACTTATTCAGAATTCCACCAGTGTTTAGAATAGGCGACGTTCCTTAATGACGTACCAAATGAAATGTGACGAACCGCTGTGGCTTTGCCATGTTATGTTGTTCTTTTAAATAGAATCTATAGGGGTAAAATACATCATGTATAGTTTATACTAACGCTTATATCAATCGTCAGAAGTTTGATTAGGTCCGTGATAAGGCAACTATTTTTGTTTAAATACATTTCTAACAGGGATATTCACAACTATTCTACCGTGCATATCTCCTGTAAAGGCCGAAATTGGATAACACAAGTGAATGTTATTCACAAAGATAATGGTCAGCAGAGCCCGTTTCAGAGAATGAATATCAGCTTTGAATAAACAAAGTGTCTGGGCAGGTGGTACCAACTAAATTCGGCGGGTGAGCACAGAACGTAACTTAAACCATCTTCCAGTTCCACGTCAAGATTGTATTTCCCGTCTACACTTATTTTATAAGCAACACCAGAACAGATTTGCTTAACTTGTTTTGTGATACTTTGAGTTTGGTAACAGTTTAAAATATCTTCCTATCATTAGCTGAGTAGGCTTTTTAATATTTTTTTTAATTTCCTAACAAATAAATCAGAGTTCGCTTACCTCCTCCATTCCTGTAGCAGAGGTAGGGGAACCTCCAGACGTTTCCCAGACCCACAGCGTAGCCCACACAGGACAGCAGGAACTCAAACTTGCCTCCCCACGACCCTCGCTCCTCCACCTGTGTAACATAGACAAGTAGGTATACTGATAAAGCTGCAGGTAATGGATGCAACGTGTGTCATTAGTATGTCTCTTTAAGTCAGTTCTCAATAACACGTCTATAATTGTTGAAGGCCCTGACCTGGATTAAACGAAAACGGTGTAGAAATGCTGTGATGCTAGCTTGAAGCCTCTTGTGTCATCAGTGATAAGGCGTACTCTACTCAACTATTCGAAGGAAATAGCTACTTTTCCAGCGTATATCGTACGTTTCTAGAAACCACCTATTTACAGTCCAGTACACGTATCAGTCTGTAGTCAAGTACATGTGGGGGCACGGGTGGCCCAGTCGTCTAAGTCGCCGCGATTCACTGTGCAGAGTTGCGTCCCTTAGGCACGCAAGAAACCTATAATTGTCGGTTCGAATCCCGGTTCGCCCCGATTATGTTTCTAGGTATGTTAGCACCATACCCGTGCCCGTGGGTTTCACCGAAGTGGTAAACGTCTGAGACCTGCATCACTTCGGGATTTCCTCCCACATTAAGCTGACTCGCCGTCATATAACCGGAATACTGTCAAAAGCGGCGTACAATCAAACTCACTCACTCCAGTACATGTTATCAGCAACATTGCACATTTTCGACCATCTGTCAGCCAGTTCATGTTTGCAGCAACGTTTCAACTAGCAATCACTCCCCTTGTACTCCCCTTGTCTTGTCGTTTATATGGACCACTCCCACAACCACTCGCACAAGACAGGGTATTGTCGTTAATATCTACCACTTTCACAATCCCACACAACCCATCACACAACACAGTGTATTGTCGTTTAAATCTACCACTCTCACAACCGCACACAACGACTCAATCTACACAGGGTATTGTCGTTTAAACCTACCACTCTCACAACGGCTCACACATCCACTCACACTACACAGGGTATTGTCGTTTAGATCAACCACTCTCACAACCACACACAACCACTCACACAACACGGGATATTGTCGTTTAAACCTTCCACTCTCACAACCGCTCACACAACCACTCCCACAACACAGGGTATTGTCGTTTAAACCTACCACTCTCACAACGGCTCACACAACCACTCACACTACACAGGGTATTGCCGTTTAGATTCATCACTCTCACAGCCGCCAACACAACGACTTAATCAGCACAGGGTATTGTATTATTTCCAATCGTGGTCCATCGTGGTCAATGGAGGATTAGAATATAATACTTAGCAGAAACACATTCTCATGTAAGGTGTTTTATTGGGTGGGCGTCCCCTGTGCTATTGTATACGTCTGTATGTCTTTCACTCTGTCATGTGGATACAGGCAATACAGACGGACCCCGTTGTATGCTAGCAAAACAAACAACTGCCTTGTTTATATGCCAGAAAAACATCCTGGTTTAATGTCTGAGGGTTGTAAACGGTCCTGTCCCGTTCAGTTCGGCCTGAGGCGATGGGAAATATGTTGCAATACATTCATCGCAACGGGGTACCTAATGACACCGTGAGTCATCTTGTAACTCGTATCGACCTAGGGGTTTCTCCGTCGGGCTCAGATATTGATAGGGTTTGCATAATACGCACAGTCCTCGATACGAGTACATTGTTCATGATACGATATGTAAAGCGGTTCATTGTTCATGATACGATATGTAAAGCGGTGCATTGTTCATGATACGATATGTGAAACGATACATTGTTCATGATGCGATACGTGAAAAGAATACATTGTTCATGATACGATATGTACAGCTGTACCTTGCCCACGATACGATATGTGAAGCGATGCATTTTCGACCATATGATATGTTAAGCGATGCATTTTCCATGATACGATATGTGAAGCGATGCATTTTTCACGATATGATATGTGAAGCTAATCATTTTCCACGATACGATAAGTGGAGCGATGCATTTTCCACGATACGATATGTGAAGCGATGCATTTTTCACGATATGATATGTGAAGCTAATCATTTTCCACGATACGATAAGTGGAGCGATGCATTTTCCACGATACGATATGTGAAGCTATTCATTTTCCGCGATACGATATGTGAAGCGGTGCATTTACCACGATACGATAAGTGGACCGATGCATTTTCCAGGAGGCGATATATGACGCTATGCATTTTCCACGATACGATTTATAAAACGATGCATTGGTCTTGCTACAACTCATTGCTTGTTTTACAGTGTTAGCCCACTGAGATGTCACATCACAGTTAACCACGGATACCCGACTCAGACCAGTCCTTGTTTTATCTCCTTAGCCTTTTTAATACCATTTTTAAACGTCTTTGTGTATGACACAGCCTGGGATCGAACCACAGACCTTCCGCTCTCCGGGCAGATGTTCCATCTAGTAGACCACGAAACAGGTCGACACCAAGAACAACGTCTATGCGTATTATGGAACTCCGAACACTCGGTGCAACTGTAAGCTATGTCAACGCGCCAGTCGATATTTATCAGACCTTACGTTAAAAATGCCAGGCAAGTTTGGATTCATTTTTTCTGTTTTCTGTTTACCATAGGTAAACATATCCCTAACTATGTCGTGTATTGAAGACATTGAACCTCAATCGATAAAGAACGTTTCACGGCTACTTTTTATACCTTTATCAGGGGAATTTTGAGTAAGCATTTGTGAGTTATGTTGACATGTCGATAATATATATTAGTTTGAGCATGGTTGGGTCATTGTACAAAGAGTTTTAATTCACACACGTTTCATGTGGCAACGCCCTTACAACGTCCACATGCCTGGGCGGGCATTGTATTGCACGGAGTCCTTCCTTTTTCTTATCCATTCATAACATTGCTCGATACCTCTCTCAAATTCTGTACTGCCGCCTCCGTGGTCTTGTGGTAGAGCGTCAGCCCGGAGAGCGGAAGGTTCGGGGTTCGATCCCCAGCCGCGTCATACCAAAAGACGTTAAAAGATGGTACTTGTTGTTACCCTGTCTGGCGCTCGACATTAAGGGGCTAAAACAAGGACTGGTCGGCTCGGAGTCAGTATACTGTGTGTGAGTGGGGTATTCATGTTAAACTGCGGCATGGTATCTCAGTGAGCTAGCACTATAAATTGGCATCAGTCCGGACTAGTACAAGCAGCCACACACACACACACACACGTGCATGCACGTTGCTATATAAGTGCAATAATCTTGGACGCGACGTTAAACCCAATTTCACCTCACCTTACCTCAATTTCTGTACTCGTCTGTCATTTTCATATATCCTCTACTGAATGAATGAATGAATAAATGAATAAATGATCCTCCATTAATTTCGGAGAGTGATATACATTTGGAAGCATGTTAACACAGCATATTTACACGAACATTATGCAGAGAAATTGGCAATACTGAATGTTTACATGTCGTGGTCCTGGTATGAGATATACTGTCTATAGATAGAGCATTGATCGCAGGTTCCAGGAGCTTATATCTCGTGATACAGAAGATATGAATCCAGCCCAGCTGTCAAGGCTCATATCCTCTACAATAGGGCTCATACCACCTAGCAATGTCACAAGTTTGACTTCGTCATCTGAGGTTTAAAGTGTCAAATATACGTTCATGGTTGGTGTTCCTTGCATCAGCTAAAGCTATACAACATAGCAGTTGGTGCTTTATTATGTCATCGCACTGGTCATCACACATTAAACACTCTCCAGTTGTTATTGGTAGTGTTCCTAGCTTCACAAGTGCATACATAGGTCTAGTTGGTTTCTTGTAAAAAATACACATATTCCACAGTCTGTTGGGTACACAACGTACAAGGTTACTGTGAATTTAAATAAATCTGTTTAATTCAGGGTGATCTCGCAGACTCGTGTGCCAATGAGCAGTTTCATGTTCTGTTATTTTAGTCTGTACGGTTTTGTTCCACACATCCTTGGATGGAAACTGGTTAGTTTTCATAAAGTGAACTATTTTGGTCCATAATTCATATTTCTTTGCCACATTGAGTAGATCATGTGTTACAAACTTACTTTTGTCACACTTGATATATATTGAGCACACTTCAAATTGAACACCTTTTTCGGGGCATATCTGTGGCTGCTTCTACACATCCTCCCCAAGGAACTTCAGCTTCATTTTGTCAATCACAGATGTCATTGTCCACAATCCCAGCGTCTGAATAGTTGCAACGGTCGGAGATCTTACATGAAAATTTTGTACATAACGTGCAAAGTAGCGCTGGAGTTTTTCAATTTCATTGTGTTCTGTCTTGGACATATTTGACCACAGTTCACACGCGTAGAAGGCACATGGAATTATTACTCTACGCCATGTGTTCATACAGCAGACTGGGTTCAGACCACCTGCTTAATAGTAGTAGTTCAATGACTCATTGCTTAAAGCGTTCGCTCGTCACGCCGAAGACCCGGGTTCGGTTCCCATTTCTGGTGTCCCCCACGGTGATATTGCTGGAATGTTGCTAAAAGCGGCGTAAAACAAAACTCACGAACTCACGAACGAACGAACGAACGAACGAACGTACGAACCAACGAACGAACGAACGAACGAACGAGAGTTAAATCGTTAATTTGCCAATCCCTTTATCCGTGGTTCAGTGGGAAGAGATCCCTGGTACCTTCATACCAAAAGACATTAAAGTACGGTACTTCTTGTTACCCTGCTCGGCAGCAAGGAGATAAACCAAGGACTTTTAGGCTTGGAGTATACTGTCTGGGCGGGCTTTTGTTTGTTTGTTGGATTGCCCCCAGGGTTTGGGTGTTGACTTGCGTCATAGCTTGACTCATCAAAAACACTGTATTTTGCAACATGGTTATTTATATTCATTTCACGTTCAATAGTTGTTTTTTTATTTCATCCATTGAATTCCCGGTCCGCGCATAGCATTACTCTGACGCTGTTAGTTGCCCTACACTTAAATCTTCTGTAGAAAGTTATGTAAAGGCTTTTATAAAGCGTTTCTTTTATTACAGTTACGGGGTTGAGGTTGGAAAAGAATTAGCAGTTGTTTACAACTGGATCAACGCATTACACAAGCGTCGCATGCAGCGTTCATTTAGTTCGTTTACAGTTACACAAGATCAAACCAGATTGTCCGTTGCTTTTGAATCTAAGTCAAATGCGTGTGTCCGTGTGGTCATACATTAAACCTTATGCAACTAACTACGAAGAACAAACACTTAAGTGTAACTATAAACAAAAACAAGACTGGTTACCAACACAATCACAAGTACATATATCCAGTTTGTTTATAGTCTACTAAAGCTAGGGAAGTTTATCGTAAAACGAAACACAAATCGCGACAACATGTGAGGCTGTGAGGGTTGAGCTTGTACGCTATATATGTCTGATTCTACATTACAAGATAACCTGCTAAAAATATATACGTGTTAACAAAACTTCTACCAGGCTGAAAACAGTCAGAAACACTGCAAACTTAAGATCCAAACCACAACTGTGATACCCATATCAAATACATCACCATCCAATTAAATAATTTCATTTGTTTCATTTTCAGCGGTAAACAAACATGGTATAGACTTTGTTGTTCTGGCAGTTCGTTTATGTCAAGTTTAAAACATAAACGGATCTCAATTAAAGCGAAACATTAAAATAATAAGACTTGCGCTTACCTCTTCTGTCATGTTGTGTTACTGATATACACGTCAGTGCAGTTAATACGCAATATTTGCAATGTCCTGTTGCACACTGCACATTGACATGGCGCAGTAACGCCAAATGTGTCACGTCTTCAGCCAATGAAAAGCTCTAAACTTTAACCACATGACAACCGGGTGTGCAGGTCCGCTCAGAGCTTGTATTGCTACTCCTTGGCGAGAGGTACTAAAACCTAATGTCTAACCTGTTCATTGTAAGTTGTCAACCGATCACAAGGAGTTTAGGATGGGACGTACTCTTTCTATGTACCATGCGCCGTCGGGCTCACACACAGGGTACAAGACATGCCCCGAGAGATCATACATGTTTTAGAACCAAGTACTTCCCATTACCGAATACATTCGGATAAACGTCGGCTCAACGATACTTATGCGAGATGAGCATGTCACCTAAGATGTGTTCCGATTGATTTCTCAGCGGACTATATGAAATGTGTACACCTCTATGAGCGGGCTCCGTGGAAAAGAAATACTCGTTCCTTAACCAATAAGAAGCTAATATATTAATGTAAGGTGAGATAAGTTATCTTGTGTATTTGTTGATGTTCAGTTTTAATCAGCTGTTTTTCATTGACGCTATGAAGTAAAAAGAGACTTTAAACACTATTTTACAGAAACAAATAGGTCAGAAGAATTGTATTCTTGATAATAACAGTTCATACTTCACAGTTCATATCACACAGTTGATACAACACACTTGATACACACGTTAAAAGATGGTACTTGTTGTTACCCTGTCTGGCGCTCGGCATTATGGGGCTAAAACAAGGACTGGTCGGCTCGGAGTCAGTATACTGTGTCTGAGTGGGGTATTCATGTTAAACTGCGGTATGGTATCTCAGTGGGCTAGCACTATAAATCGGCATCAGTCCGGACTAGTACAAGCAGCCACACACACACGTGTATGCACGTCGCTATATAAGTGCAATAATCTTGGACGCGACGTTAAACCCAATTTCACCTCACCTCACCACTTGATACACAACACCATGTATTTTTTTGCAAACCTTCTCCGTATTCTTCAGACAAATAGCATGTCAGTACTGTGTCCTGCAACTTTCAGGAACAAATGACTGTGTCCAGGTTCCCACATCTGTACTCCCGTCACCACGAACAGGAGTTTCGCGGACACCAGGTGTCATTACTGGAATATTATTGATGATGCGGCGATTTTGAACAGTGGCGATTTGAGTCTTGTAAGACCAAAGTTTACATGATAACTTTGTATAAAGTTGAACGAAGACAGGAATCCCGATACACACTACTCAAACGTTGATAGGTGAGGTGAGGTGAAATGGGGTTTAACGTCGCGTCCAAGATTATTGCACTTATATAGCGACGTGCATGCACGTGTATGTGTGTGTGGTTGCTTGTACTAGTCCGGACTGATGCCGATTGATAGTGCTACAACACTGAGATACCATGCCGAAGTTCAACATGAATACCCCACTCAGACACAGTATACTGACTCCAGGCCGACCAGTCCTTGTTTTAGCCCCTTAATGCCGAGCGCCAGACAGGGTAACAACAAGTTCAATCTTTTAATGTGTTTTGGTATGACGCGGCTGGGGATCGAACCCCTGACCTTTCGCTCTTCGGGCGGACGCTCTACCATTAGAACACGGAGGCGGTCAAACGTTGGTAGGAGCATGCAGTTATTGTTCATATTACTCACTATTATCGACTTAAGTGAGTGATAATGTTTAAGCCGCTTTGAACAGTATTTCAGTTCTGTCACGGCCAATCAGTGCCACGTGTGAGTGGGTTTGGTTTTATGTGAATTTAGACAGAATTTGAGTTATGTGACTGCAGGTGAAACCAACACAATGGATATGGTACTAAGAAATATAATTTCACAACCGCTTATCCTGACGTGACTAAGGGCTGTAACTCTGCAGAAGTGGAAGACGTACACATTCGACATGTAACAATTAAAACACCAATATTTTAATGAAGAGCCTCTGTTTCTAAATGTTGAGCGATACCAATATTGCATTGGCCAGTTAGTTGGCGGGATGGACTTGAATTCTGATCTGTTTAGTCCCGAGGCTAATCAGTGAAGTATGTTTGGAGTAATCCCCCCTTTCCGTGGAAATACACGTGGGAATACAGTTATCACGTAAAGCAAAACTCAACAAATCTTATTTCTCAAGATTTTATACATGAAAACATTATCAAAAATAAGATATTTTGCCAAATATAGTGAGATTCATATATAGAAATGACATAAAAAGACAGATTTGTAAAAGATGAAGTATGTATATTATGTACAAGTAAAACATGACGTATTAAGGGAGTTGAGCAGTTAGCTTGAAATATAATATCGAGTCATTAAATGTGATATATAACGTTGACAATGTTCTATGGATGTGCACGAGGGACATAACACTTAGAGGACATATTACAGCGACCAAGGCATGTTATTGTAACTATGACTAACTCTTAGAATCATAAATTGAAATATAAATATTTTAAAACAAAAACCAAAAAAACTCTTTGAATCATAGAAAGAGATTTTTACACAATATTATTTCTTGTATAATAATTTCTCATTTTGCAACATGAAGCGCAGCATATAAGAACCCGTAGAAGAATACAACACATTTATATCTTGACACTATTCTATTGAGTGGGGAATTCTTTAATGAATAGAAATTCATTTTGAAAACAAGTAAACCATTAAAATATGATATGTACACAAATGATTTGTTATTTGATCATACACGGACAATTGCATGACTCCGTCTACCGTCTACAGCACGATGTAGGCCAAAGCCTACACAAAACACACACTAAAGTCAGGCTCAAGGGTGTTCCTGTAAGCACTATGCACGTCACGGTTACATTCGCTCGTTGTAGTATGCAGCGTTGTCTGTTCCGCCGTTGGTGTAGGGAGGGGGGTGGCCTTTCTCGGTATCCATGTCGTTGATGACGTAGGCGTTTCCCTTCTCGTTAGAAAACCCAACGGTAACATTGCCAGAAATGGCAGCATATTTTCCTGTTCGGTCCTCGGGGTTGGCGGGTCCCCAGCTTCTCGTCGGGCTGAAGGCTTTTCTCTGAAGAGGGAATTCAACATAGCTTTTATCATCATGGAACGACTTTGATCTTAGACATACGTAAGTATGATAGTATCATTTAAATCCAGATAATAATCAATGGCGTATCTGCAGAAACAGATTCCATTCGGTGTAAAAAGCAATTAAGTGATTACAATTACCGTATTCGACGAGAAAAGCGCCCAGGGCGATATTTGCTAATATATTGGCAAGTGAACAATCCCAATCTGCACCCCTTCCGATTGATTAATGTACACAAGACATATTTATTCGTGTATAATAAGCACTCGTGTGTTATATGCACCCTTAATTGTGGGCAATTAAATTCTGGAAAAAAATATATCTGTCGTGTATAATACGCACAGACTTTTCTTTTGTATCATTTCAGGCTGTTAGCATAAACCACGAAGTTTACGATCTTTCAACTGGTTTTTTTTCACCAAAAATTTATTCTAATAAGAGCCCCCTATTTCTAATTTTGAGTGCGCACTGGGCGCTTATTACGTCGAATACGGTATATGAATGGATCACAAAAAGTCAATGATAACACCAGGTGACCACACAAAGGGAAGGTATGTCATGCTCTACTAGTAGCAACCGCCACTCACAATATATTTTATTTAAAATGTATTTTGTTGTTTGTTTGTTTGTTTGATGCTTTGCAATACTTCTGCCATACGACGGTAAACAATCGAGTCTGAACCAGACAATCCAGTGATCAGTATCATGAGCAATGATCCACGTCGTTGGGGTACGACGCCACGCCGTCAACCAAGTCACCAAGCACGACCACCCGATCCATTCAAGTGCCCGTGAGAACTTTCTGGAATGACTTGACCATGTCTTTGATCATAAGACCTTGGTTATGTCTTAGCTCTCAGGAAATTGTATCCAGGAAATTTGAACAATATGTAGAGGCTCTATGTACCTAAGCACCTGGGAAATGTGAACAATATGTACAGGCTCTATGCACCTAAGCACCTGGGAAATGTAAACAATATGTAGAGGCTCTATGTACCTAAGCACCTGGGAAATGTGAACAATATATAGAGGCTCTATGCACCTAAGCACCCGGGAAATGTGAACAATATATAGAGGCTCTATGCACCTAAGCACCTGGGAAATGTGAACAATATATAGAGGCTCTATGCACCTAAGCACCTGGGAAATGTGAACAATATGTACAGGCTCTATGTACCTAAGCACCTGGGAAATGTGAACAATATGTAGAGGCTCTATGTACCTAAGCACCTGGGAAATGTAAACAATATGTACAGGCTCTATGTACCTAAGCACCTGAGAAATGTGAACAATATGCAGGCTCTATGTACCTAAGCACCTGGGAAATGTGAACAATATGTACAGGCTCTATGTACCGAAGCACCTGGGAAATGTGAACAATATATAGGGGCTCTATGCACCTAAGCACCTGGGAAATGTGAACAGTATGTAGAGGCCCTATGCACCTAAGCGCCTGGGAAATGTGAACAATATGTACAGGCTCTATGTACCTAAGCACCTGGGAAATGTAAACAATATGTAGAGGCTCTATGTACCTAAGCACCTGGGAAATGTGAACAATATATACAGGCTCTATGTACCTAAGCACCTGGGAAATGTGAACAATATGTACAGGCTCTATGCACCTAAGCACCTGGGAAATGTGAACAATATGCAGGCTCTATGTACCTAAGCACCTGGGAAATGTGAACAATATGTAGAAGCTCTATGTACCGAAGCACCTGGGCAATGTGAACAGTATGTAGAGGCTCTATGTACCTAATGAGGACACCAAAAGCTGCTGTTGGTGGTTTATTGACCGATGCATCAAATATACATTAATTGTCAATGCAAGAGAATAACCTAGATTTTAAACAGATTCCATTTAGCGTAAAGGGCAAATAGCAAAACATGAATTCGCCCTTCCTTGTCTGCACTGTCAAACATAACCGATGTCTTCACAAGGACATTTGAAGTTTACTATATTAGCTTTATCCCTGGAGAATAGAAATACACCTATCTCTAACAGTGAAGGAACTTTGGCCATTAATAGATGAGGGATGGTGCATACATCTACACGGACGACATCGTGACATAAATATACAGGGCTTGGGATAACGAAGCTAAAGTATCATCAGAAAAACATGATGTATTTGTTCAATATAAACCATGTAACGTGCCAAACCTTCAGTATGACACAATGTTAATGTCAACTCACCGGCCCCAGTCTGCACACTTGTATTATCATGACGAGGAATATCATAACAAGGGGGGCGACAACCATGCACCAGCCAATCCCCTCAGCCCACGGCGGGTAGATGTATTCACCATAGTTGGCCGGGGCATACTGAGTGGCTGACACAATCACGATGAACTGGAAAAAAAAATTTTTTTTGAAAACATTAAATACACTTTTTTTCATTTTTTATTGTTTCCAGGGTTGTAGAGTAAGATTTAGTTGTTATTCTATTTCATGCACCTTTCTTCACTGTTACAGATACAAATATAATGTCAAGAATGTTGATGCTTGTTCAGGGAGCAAGACATCATCCTCCAGTCTGAGTAGCATCGCGCCCTGTTTACGTGTATAGCAACTTTTTTAGATTTTGAATTACTTCACTTACAACGATGACGACAGGGGTCAGGAAGACCCAGTTGATGACCCAGTAGGGGTTGGGTTTGTGGCCAATCATCATCTCGATGTCCTCCAAGAACGGGATGTAACTTCGTTTACCTTGGTGCTGTGGCCAGAACCAACCCACTAAAGCTTAAATGGTAAGGAAACAGTCAATTAGAATATAAATTGAAAAAAAGATAACGTGAAAACATTTTGTTGACAGACATGACAACATCAATTCCTATCGTAATACTTACGATAGACATACATAAGACAGATGATTTCCGTCAGAGCCACCAGCATCAGGTTGTAGCTTCCAGAGTACCAGTCCATCAGTGTCAGCATGTAAATACCACCCTGGAGGAAATGTATAATGACTTTAGTTACGTTCTTATTCAAGGTTGTGTTTGAATAATTTTTAAAGAGGTTTTAATAATCTAAATAAAGAAATACAGTCTAATAGCGAATTCATACAATGTGGAGCAATTCTCATCGAGTCAAACATGTGCATTGAAAACATCACATTAAAGAAACAACACATAGTTATAATTTAAAAAGGGTAGTACTCTCAATATTAGTACAATCTCGTTTTCTACGACATTGTACAATCACTCAATAACTTTTAAATTAGAAACCACACAGATATTTGACATTTCAAGAAAAATAAGTGTGCGATTGTATCTACCCTACCTTTGTAACTTGAGGCAGTCCAAGCAGGAAACCAATGAGGCAACAGAAGGCAGTGAAAGGAGTCTTGTGCTTCCTCAGGACACGTGGGAAGATGTCACTGATGCCGCTGATCAGCGTCTCCATCATAGCGAACTGTTGAAGAAAGGGAACACAAGGCTTAGCACCAATTACTGTGTTTGTGGCGAGACTGTTAAAAAATCCCTTATGTTTTTGCCTTTATCGACATTTATGAATAAATATTATGCAGCGAAATGTGTTAATTCATCAGGATCAACCTTCTATCAGCATCTTCAGTATAGTTCCTGGTTCGTGTTTATTTTTTCATTAGGAACTTGCGTAGCTCAGGGTTGGAATCCCAGTTCGCCATGATCATGTTTCTTGGTTTGTCAGCACCATAGTCGTTCTCGTGGATTAAGACCTCAAAAATCCTGCTCAACGTCAGGCTTTCCTCGCACATCAAACTGACATACTGGTCAAAATGGCGTTAAAACCAAACTCGCTCATTCTTTTCCATTGGTTTTCTAAATGTCGAAAGATCCTGTTGACTATGCAGCCTACCTGACTGTCCAAACCAAGGGTGAGCAACATGAAGAAGAACAGGAAGGCCCACAGTGGTGACACCGGAAGTTTAGCAATGCCTTCTGGGTAAGCAATGAAAGCGAGACCAGGACCTGCAACAAAGATACCTCATGAGTGGTTCTGGGTTATTGAAACGTTGATGTGGATATGTGTGGCTGGATATCCTGCATGTATTCTGGCAAATCACAAGGAACTTTGCATTGAAAGACCTGAACTCTTGACAGTCTCATGTATTTCGAAATGGTTAGTAATTCAGTGTGGAATATATGAACTTTGTGAAAGATCTAACAAAAATGAAAAAGCTGGACAGCAAACTGTTATGACTGACATCAAGTCAGGAATTTGATTAATGGAAAACTCACCTTGGTCGACCACGCTCTCCACGTCCTGGTTGGTGGTGTGCGCCATGAAACCAAGGAGGGAGAAGATGGCAAAGCCCGCGAACACACTGGTGCCACAGTTGATGAAGGCGACGATGAGGGCATCTCTAAAATGGGGTAAATATGTCAATTATAGTCGACCACATAATAACAGTGATTGCGCTCTATTTCAAAACCCTGGACACCGATGATGAACCCAAGTGGACCAAGCTATAGCCCTGACCAATGTAAGCACATGTTAACTGATTTAGAGCATTTCCGTCACACTTCGATTGTGAGGTAATGCAAGTGTCATCATGATAAGGTCAGTTAATTTCATTTTTTGATTCAATGATGAATAAAAGAATTTTAATAAATTTAATTAACCAGGTATTGACAGTATATATTGATTATATATATAAATTTTATGATTATTTTGAATCTCTGTTTAATGGTCTTCGGGTTTTCTTGTCGTTTCAAATGCATTAAATAGACCAGGTACAATGGCAACTTTGTCAAACCTCTGTGTTATAGCAATATGCATGACTGCTGTGCATGCTGTGTTTCTCCTTTCCCTGGCCGCCAGTCTTGTATTATTGCTAAGGTTGCATTGTATGTGTTTTATTTAGGGACTGATTAACTCTTACGTACACATGTCTCCAGATTGAACTTACCGTTCACAATTGTTTTTGAACTTGTTGTAACTGGCCATGGTCAACAGCCCACCGAATGCAGCTCCCAGGGAGTAGAAGATCTGAGTGGCTGCATCTCCCCATACCTGGACAAATATGTACAATATATAACATTGCGAAATCTTAGGTATGAAACATGTATAGAAGTAAGTGGCATGCTATTGTAAATTTGTCAGACAGTGAAGTTCATGACATCTATAAGATATGTGGTGTTCGGCAGAACATGCAGGAGATTAATTCCTCAAGCACAAACTTAGCTGCGTTAGGCATAGTGGTCACGTTCGAGCCTTTACATAAAGAATAAATATAAACAGTCAACGCCTGAGAATAATCAGTCTCTGTAATCTGCCGAAACAGGACAAAGAGTGGTGATAAAAAAATGAATGAATCACTGAAAATAAATGATGAGCCAACGTGTTCGCGAAAAGGGTAAACATGTCCTCTACCATTAGCACCTGTCACCCATACAATTTGCCTAAAATAGTGTACGTTTTTTGCAAAACACATCAGGCGCAAAATATGCCAAGCCCTTTTAGTCTACATCCCAGATGAGCCGTCATATTGCTGGAATATTGCTGAGTGCGGCGTTAAACAACAAACAAACAAACAAACACACATCCCAGATGAGGAAGTATAGGGGCAACACCAATAATATATCAACCATAAATTTCCAATGGTATAGTAACACAATGCAGGCTGCCCTCACCTTGGCCTCCTTCAGCCTGTGGATCTGTGGAGTCATGTAGAATGTGATGCCCTTCTCGTATCCCTCCAGAGTCAGGCCTCGGATCAGCAGGACCACAAGGATGATGTAGGGGAAGGTGGCGGTGAAGTACACGACCTGAGGGAAGATGTTGGCATTTTCATGTGTTATTTGTCTGGGTTTTTTAAGGCGAGAAGTTCAAATATATAAAGTCTGAATGTCTCCTCGAAGCGTGATGATGAATAATTGTAACGTGAGTAGTGTTTCTCACACTGGGAGCAGCAGTGATGATGAAAATAAAATTGGACTTTCTGTACAGTATGTCCCCATCTCGCAGCAAATCCAACTCGTTTTCAAGACTCTGTTAATATGTGTACAGTCAGGACGTTATTAAATCAGTTTAAGGGACAAAACTAGTGATGCTGCTGAAATGAATGTGAAAACACATTTGTTCAAACCTAAACGCTTGGCCTACATTTGAAGTATGATGGCTATAGGGAATATTTTTAAATTACAGAGCATATATACACTGTATCAACCGTTTGATAGATTAAAGCCTGTCCGCAAATAAAAATACGGAGAAGTTGCTTGAAGGCAATCTTATATCCCAAATAAACCTGTCAGACAAAGAGATCGTACAACAAATGATCGTTTATGTTATTTCTCGTCACTGTTTGCTCCCGAACGCCTCAAGAACGTTAAAGAGTTTAAACCGTTTGGAAAAATGTTTCCATTTGTTTTGCATTTCATTTGTTTTGATTATTTGAGATAATAGAGGACATAAACTTTGTTAATTATAATGAGGTTGCACCAGGCTCCTTAGACTCAAGTCCAACCATCGCATTGTCCGCCAAGGAAGGTTTACCTTGCCGGAAGACTTAATTCCCTTCATGAGACAGAAGAAGATGAGGAGCCAGGCTAAGAAGAGACAGACACCGTTCTTCAAGCTGAAGCCTCCTAGGTCATCAAGCCCAGTAGATTCATGTAGACGAAGTACGTAGCGCCTGCAATGTAAGTTTAACAGTTAATATCCTATACTGTTGGGGTGATGGGTTCCCTGTGGTTAAAACGTTGACAGTCACGGATAAGACTCCCCATATGAGTATATGTTTGAACCCAATTCTTAGTATCCCCCGCGGTGATATTGCTGGAATATTGCAAAAACCAGAGTGAAAACCCAATATCAGAATTGAGAATGTTCACTGTTTTAATGGTGGTGATAAAATAATAAAGGGTAGTGTCTGACTACACCAACCGTTGCTTCCCTTTCTCCAGGGTAAATACGACCATAGAAATGGAGAGAACCATATCAGTAGAACCATTTATAACAATGTCTTACAGTGTTGTAAAATGTTGTTGAATAATTGAGTATGGTTTGTGCACCATCGTTCCTAAGATCTAAGATTGGCCATCACTACAAGGATGATATTCATGCCTATTTGGGGTATCGAATCCGAGGCTATTAAGCTATTAAAGCCCTGGGCCCTGTTCCACAAAGCGTTCTTAGTGCTACGTTGATCGTAAGCCTATGGTAAAGAATGGGAGTTACGACCAACTTAGCACTAAGGTCGCTTTGTGGAACAGGGCCCTGAATCTTAAGGCCACTTCTCAGATGTGTGACAAACAAGCTTTATTGATCATATTCTCTGATGTGTAAAAGAATACACTTTCAAAATGAAGCATGGATGGCTCTGATTGATATGAAATTATCCGCTAAACTGAGCACCGGATCATATACTATGAGATACCTACTCCCAATACTCCTCGCTGGCTGTTGTATAGGTGATCTTGCAGTCCTTGGTAATGTCCTTGTTCTGTATCATGGTTGAGTTAAGTTCGTCGACGGTGGTGAAGCTGTAGTTGTAGGCGTTAGAGATGTTGACGAGGAGGTCGTTCACGCACGGTTTGTTGTACAGCTCCTCTGCAAGACGGAGATTACAGAATAAACCAAACTGGCGTATACTGGATGGGGAATTAAACGTTTTTTTGCAGATAACATATTGAACGTTTTTCAATGCGTGGGTTGGGTAAAACGAGGTTTTAAACAGTATTCATGTTATATTACGTCTTACGTGATGCACGTCTGACGTTTTACCATTGAGGCTAAACCGACAAGAACGGACATGACGCTGACAAACCTAGGAAAATAGGTCAGGGCGAATTTGGAATTCATAATGAACCTTAAACGAATATACATACATGTTCTAAGCATTGGTCTTTTGCCTTTATCCTGTGTTTAACTTAATATTCTGATCTTGTCAATATGGAATTTCACACTTACTGAACAGCGGGCACGGGTGGCCCAGTCGCCTAAGGCCCCGCGATTCTCTATGCAGAGTAGCCTCCCTTAGGCACGCCAGAAACCTATCATTGTGGGTTCGAATACCGATTCGCCCCGATTATGTTTCTAGGTTTGAATCCCGGTTCTCCCCGATTATGTTTCTAGATTTGTCAGCACCATACCCGTGATTGTGGGTTTCACCGAAGTGGTAAACGTCTGAGACCTGCATCACTTCGGGGTTTCCACCAACATTTAGCTGACACGCCGTGATATAACTGGAATATTGTTAATAGCGGCGTTAAACTCAACTCACTCACTCACTCACTCACTTACTGAACAACGTCATGGTTCTGTTTCCCTCCGTCATGCCATCCAGGTAGGGGTAGGGCTCCGTCCTGCAGGAGTTGGTGTTCCAGGGATTACCACAGTTCTCCCAGGGAACTGAGCCATCCAGGTTGACGAAGCTGGCAAACATGTAGTACATGGCGTACATGATGATGACGTTGTAGTAGATGGACACCATGCCGCTGATGGTCACCATGGCAAACCCAATACCTGGAATAGTCGAGCGTTTTGTTGAACGTTTTCATCGCCAGGGCTGTTTAGATTAACTTACACATACGTTTATACATTGACCAATAGTGACTGACAATTGTTCTCCACCTACCATGGAACGCCGGGCTGACCTTCCACACTGTGATCGGCCCCTCGGAGGCGAACTGGCCCACCGCCAGCTCCAGGAAGAATAACGGCAGACCAGCCACCACCAACATGATGACGTACGGGATAAGGAACGTGGCTGTAAACAAGAAGAACTTGGTTAGAATGAACAGTACTGCAAAACCAACAGGGGAAATTGACCCGTTTGCAATAAACGCATGTAGCAATAGATATATACCTCGAGTTGCCCTCAATCTGAACCACTATCATCACACTACGATGTGCAATATAAAGGGCATACGCTTCTGTTGTGAAAGAAGTCTTTGATAAGCATTAAGAAGTTGAATGTGAGGTGAGACGAGGTGAAATGGGGTTGAATGTCGCGTCCGAGATTATTGCACTTATATAGCAACATGCAAGCACGTGTGTGTGTGTGTGTGTGTGTGTGTGTGTGTGTGTGTGTGTGTGTGTGTGTGTGTGTGTGTGTGTTTGACATGACACAGTATACTGACTCCGAACCGACCAGTCCTTTTTTCAGTCCATTAATGCCGAGCGCCTGACAGGGTAACAACAAGTACCATCGTTTAACGTCTTTTGGTATGACGCGGCCGGGGTTCGAACCCCGGACCTTCCTCTCTCAGGGAGGACGCTCTACCACTAGACCACGGAGGCGGTCTTAGAAGTTGAAAGAACATGAAGACATGATACGTATTAACGCTTACTCAATCACCATCTGATGAAGGGGCAAGAAGCCCCGAAAACGTCTTAAACAAACAAAAAGTCGTTATCCATACAAGTTTCATTTTTCAGGTTAGAGAACAATTTAATGGACATTTCTTTGCATTCTTCCCACCTGCTTAAGTCATTACAGCGCTTTACAAACAACTAAAATGAGGTATTTGTGAAGAGGTGAGATTAGCTTACTATTCGTTGAATAACTCAGTGTCAAATTTCAATCTGGATACTTACCTCCTCCATTCCTATAGCACAGGAAGGGGAACCTCCAAACGTTTCCCAGACCCACAGCGTAGCCTATACAGGACAGCAGGAACTCAAACTTGCCTCCCCATGACCCTCGCTCCTCCACCTGTGTAACATAGACAAGTAGGTATACTGATAAAGCTGCAGGTAATGGATGCAACGTGTGTCATTAGTATGTCTCTTTACGTCAGTTCTCAATAACACGTCTATAATTGTTGAAGGCCCTGACCTGGAATAAATGTAAGAGAAACCACTTCTCCCTACAATCTCAAGTAAGGGGTGATTAGTGAGTGAGTGAGTATGGTTTTACGCCGCTTTTAGCAATATTCAGGAAATATCACGGCGGGGGACACCAGAAATGGGCTTCACACAATGTACCCATGTCGGGAATCGAACCCGGGTCTCCAGCGTGACGAGCGAACGCTTTAACCACTAGGCTACCCCACCGCCCCCAGGAGGTGATGAAGAAGCACATGTAGACACAATGGCCATCAACCATGACTCAGCGTTACCAGTAAATAAATGATAACAATTAGTATAAGGTTAAATGGACTGTTTGATCTTCCAACTGACCACAAAGTCACTCTTCAGCAAAAGGAAAGTTACGGATCATTTCCTTCCCTGTCCTATTGTGAAGACGATTGAAAGCATTTATGTTTGTGTGAATTCACATTTGGCAAATTTATTATCCATAAATACGTCATGAACTTTGTCTACGGTCCAACTTATCAACAGTTTGTGTTAACAATGGAGTATTATAGGTGTTCTAAAAATCACAATATAATTGCTGAACACATGCAACTACATCTATTTAGCTGGTATATATACACACGTTGTAATCCTGATGTGAGGATTGTGTGATGTACCAAATGTTGCAGTGATATCTCTGCTTATTAAACTACAGTTTTTTATACATCTGTTCAACCAAGCCTCGTCGACAACAGTACGCCATTTTGGTTTTTCTGTAGTATGGGAACATATGTACCGATGAAACAGGATCAATTAGTTTCACTAGTTCATGTGACTATTCCATCCCATAACGCAATCTGGCTGTAGTCATGACCATAATATAAATGTTGCTCGATATGAAATTGTGCACCTCATCTCTGGGGACAATATGAACAAAGCTGTTAATTTATATGATGGTATATTTTGCTAAGTGATATTATACAATCGGTCCCTGATTCCTCCCAGAGGTAGTATGTAGGTGATGAAATATGTCGAGTGTACACCAATTAGTCCTCCATCAGGTCAGGATAACCTGTGCTGAGTTAGTTGTGATCCCATCTACCCGACGAAGACTGGCGACACCGACAACGAGGTCAACAGGGGCCTGTCACGTCAGGGTATTGTCCTTCACAAGGCCGTGTCCGAGCAATCAGAACACACATCAAGACACCGTCATTCAAATACAATGAGGAACCTGTTGGACTCGGGTTTTCAATGCCCCTGATAACATATTCGATGGGGCGTGAAGATCACAGGGTCAAGCGGTCAGATTCCTCCGTAATTTAATCTTCATATGTTAATTTCTTCCATTTCTTCTCAAACAGGTTCTTGGCAGTGATGACGGCACGAGAACAACTGGAATCCGGGAACGTACTTGTGAATAGTCTCAGTTGGGTGTGATTTCGTTTGATGTTCGATGTAATTGGCAGCGACAGGGCTAGCCTTGGTGTGGTTTAAAATGATGAAGGAGACGCTGTTCAGCGGGGTCGGGTTGAGTTGAACTGATGGAGTGACATTCAAAATCTCGATTTAGTTCATGTTAAACAATCCAAGTAACCATATGCGTGATCCTGATTATTCGCTTATTAATTTTCTGGAGAGGTGGAGGACGTTTTCAAATTTGACGCATCAGTGACAAAAATGCTGTCCAAAGCAATGTCCTGTTTGGACTTGTACCATATGTTTTTCTTGGGAACAATTGACTTGTCATTGCATGTGTTTGTGATAAGTGCCACCGGACATTTCCCGAACATTAGAATCATCACTATTTGATAGTGATTCATAAACACATGCTCGTGACATTGCACAATCGACTCTGCTTTTAGACATTTAGGGGGCGGTCGGGTAGCCTAGTGGTTAAAGCGTTCGCTCGTCACACCGAAGACCCGGGTTCGGTTCCCAACATAGGTACAATGTGTGAAGCCCATTTCTGGTGTCCCCCGCCGTGATATTGCTGGAATATTGCTAAAAGCGGCGTAAAACCATACTCACTCATTCCCTTTTGGACATTTCGTTGAATACGGAAAGGGGGGTGTCGCTTTTATTGTATATCCACAGTAATATGAAGGTGTATTTTCTCATGACATGCTATATCTGTCTCAAAATTGGAAACCTGAAATACAGGTTCGCCATCACGCCAACATCAACTCGGGCGACTGGATGAGATAAACTGGTCATTTGCCAAAGAAAACAGCCAAACATCGTCTATGCGTATAGAATGTTATTGTTGAAATGCCAGCGCGGTGAATTTTATATTCACGGAGTAAACAAGTCCAAAAATGATGAAACCAATACAATGATTCTAATCTCATACTGCTAATTCTCCAAACCGTTGACCCTATCGCCAAAATTGTGTTGTGTTGAGCGTCATTAAATGCACAGACTGTAATGACATATCCCTTCTAATACCTGTTTATGTATTCGTTCTTTTGTAGCAGAACGCATTCACCACTTGCGTCATGTGTGCTGCACAACCTCATTGTAAAATCTTACAACAGCAAGTTTTGTAAAGGCTGGATAGGACTTTTTATAACGTGTAAAATATTCAACGTGTCTGGTGTCTGATTTGCAGTAGTCTACATGGTTTTCCTGTACCGTCACTGGTGTCACCTTTGCAGGGGTGGTTTTAGGGTATTACCATGACAACCCGATGTCAACAGAGCTGGGATGGTGTTTGGGAATGTTCGTTACTTGTATTAAGCATTTGGATTGAGGCCGAAACAGAATTTAAATACCTTTCTTTGCAATGACTATTCAATTTCGTTTGTATTAAAATATATCTGCTTTCAGCAGAATTTTCTTATGAATATGGAACGCTTTTTTGTTCCTTTTATTTATGTTATCGTGGGTGCGGCGGTTTCGTGTGAATAACCATTCACGTGGCATTCAGATAGCATCGAGTTAACCTCGTATTTCCAATCAATGCATGGGCTCAAGCATATATTTCAAAATGAATCATGAATTGAAATGTATACCAAGTATGAATACACCAGTCTGGCAAACTGTGAATACAAACACAGTGAAAGGCAAGATGGGCCTTAGCAAAAACTCGTTATTACAAGTAACGCACTTTAAGTTCAACGTGTTATTTTCAAGGACATTGCCATGCTCCAGCAGTTTCAGAATCTGATGTTGTGATATGCGTCATCCCTTCATACACGGTCCCACGAAGGACCATGTGACTGAAACATTAAACGGTCATCTAGAATAGAATTTAGGAAACTACAAAAGTAACAGAAGCTTGGGTTCTTGGTAGACCCGTTATCTCACGTTGTTAACTGAACTTGGGCGTCATTGGAAGCTACTTAAGACCCTAGTTTCTTTAGGCTTTGTTGAGGGTTTGTCAAGCAAAACCTGTTTGTGACCGGTGCTTGACCTCACCACCCCCTTTGCCCAGCTCGGGAGAGAAACGATCGCTCTAACGTCAAATGTGGTCTTCAGAAAGCAATTGTATTGCAACGATTGTGACGGATTAATGCACCTCAAACAGGTTTAGACGTCCGCGTCGCCACGCCCTCCTACATGGTCATATTGCTCTATGATGTGTGTGTGGGGTGGGGTCGGATGGGGGGGGGGGGGGGGGGGATTGAAGTGATGCCCTCCCACGGACATGTTGTAATAGGATAGGCTGTGGTAGGTGGACTGTGAGAGGGTAAGCCATGGTAGGCGCTGACTATGAGAGGGTAGGCTATGGTAGGTGGACTGTGATAGGGTAGGCTGTGGTAGGTGGACTGTGAGAGAGTAAGCCATGGTAGGTGGACTGTGAGAAGGTAGGCTGTGGTTGGTGGACTGTGAGAAGGTAGGCTGTGGTTGGTGGACTGTGAGAAGGTAGGCTGTGGTTGGTGGACTGTGATAGGGTAGGCTATGGTATATGGACTGTGAGAGGGTAAGCCATGGTAGGTGGACTATGAGAAGGTAAGCTATGGTAGGTGGACTGTAAGAGGGTAAGCCATGGTAGTTGGACTGTGAGAGGGTAAGCCATGGTAGGTGGACTGTGAGAGGGTAAGCCATGGTAGGTGGACTGTGAGATGGTGAACCATGGTAAGTCAACTGTGAGATGGTAAGCTATAGTTTGGTAGAATGTTAAGGTGTAAGTTGTGGTAGGTGGACCGTGAGAGGGTAAACTAGGACATTTGGACTGTGATCGGGTAAGCTATGGTAGTGCAGCTGTGATAGGGTAAGCTGTGCTTGTGCAGCTGTGATAGGGTGTGAGCATCAGAACAAACACCCTATCAACAAACAGCTTGAATAGCTCATCAGCCTCTGGTATCAATTGCATATTATAGGGGTGAATCAGTGGCGCGAATCTCGTCTACTGGGTGTGAGTTGGCATTATCAACAGTCATGACACTTGTGTAATCGCACACGATACAAATCTGGGAACCTGTGTGAGGAAACGGTGATACTTTCAAGGGAGCTGGGGACAATGGGCGCTTGTTTCAGCTACCATGTGATCGTGTAATCGTATCTCCTTTTGGCAGAGACGTCTTATGTATAACGAAAGGATTTTGTTTCTGGTATCTACATTGTTAAATAGAAACTGTACACTATTAGCGTGTGTGCCGCATGACCACGTCATGCACGTCTTGTGAAAAGGGGCCAAGGCTGGGCAAAGAGTCTGTCCCACCAAGTTTGTTTGTTGTTTAACGCCGCTCACAGCAATATTCAGGTACAGATATCGACAATCGCGTCTGTATTAATATGACATAAGATGAGAATATACCAGTGTATTCCAGATCCACCTATCTGTTCCCTGCTTTTTAAAAGCCCAGTGTACCTGTTTGTAATACTACGCTGTCGATATTATCATGATCGTGTGTAAGTGTTTTCGCGAACACGTGTCATCAGTGATTGTCAGTGGTCCATTCATGTAATTTTCACCCCTAATTTGCCTTCAATGCAACGTGTCTGTTTCGGGATCGAGATAGTTTCTCTGTTCTCTGTTTCCATGTACATGATACACTCACGCGTTGGAGGACGAAGGCGTATGGACGTCAAGTTTGCTGACATGCGTTGCTAATGTTAGAACAAATGTCGGAAATAACATTGATTTAATGCAGATAGAGCTTCTCATCTGAAGAAATGAAAATTTGATTATGGGGTAGAAGATATAGACAGGACTCTAAAGGAGACACGCACCAGTAAATATCAGAGATCTGTATATACGGTTACAGTCGCAACGTAAAGTATTTGACGTTAACAGTGATAACGTTAAGTCTGTATTTGATGTTAACAGTGATAACGTTAAGTTTGTATTTGATGTTAACAGTGATAACGTTAAGTTTGTATTTAATGTTAAAAGTGATAACGTTAAGTTTGTATTTGACGTTAACAGTGATAACGTTAAGTCTGTATTTGATGTTAACAGTGATAACGTTAAGTCTGTATTTAATGTTAACAGTGATAACGTTAAGTCTGTATTTGATGTTAACAGTGATATCGTTAGGTCTGTATTTGATGTTAACAGTGATAACGTTAACTCTGTATTTGATGTTAACAGTGATAACGTTCAGTTTGTATTTGATGTTAACAGTGATAACGTTAAGTTTGTATTTGCTGTTAACAGTGATATCGTTAGGTCTGTATTTGATGTTAACAGTGATAACGTTAAGTCTGTATTTGATGTTAACAGTGATAACGTTAAGTTTGTATTTGATGTTAACAGTGATAACGTTAAGTCTGTATTTGATGTTAACAGTGATAACGTTAAGTCTGTATTTGATGTTAACAGTGATAACGTTAAGTTTGTATTTGATGTTAACAGTGATAACGTTAAGTTTGTATTTAATGTTAACAGTGATAACGTTAACTCTGTATTTGATGTTAACAGTGATAACGTTAAGTTTGTATTTGATGTTAACAGTGATAACGTTAAGTCTGTATTTAATGTTACATCATCACCACTATTATCACAATAATCATTATCAGTAGTAGTAGTAGTAGTAGTAGTAGTAGTAGTAGTAGTATAGTTGTGGTCATTATCATTGACATGTCTATGCCCCTAAGACAGTATGTATCGCATAGATAACGAACTCAGTTTCACCGTCGTGACGTCGTAAATGTTTTTAAATGTCGGTGCCCTTTGTGTGTAAAGGTTGCACCGAGACACCCCTCTCTGCACTTGGTGTGTGGTACAAAACCGACACACTGTGGTGACATAACAGGCGTTATGTGGCGTCGTCCCTGGCAACCATGTCGTCACACGTTACCCACAGGCCTGCACAAACAAAGCTTCTGACGAATGGATTGCGTCGCCAATGACCCCGGCGATTTGTCTTCCTTGTATACATCCCCATAATGTTACACAGATGTTCATTCATTGAAAGAATGTTGGTTAACGAGAAATGTTGTGCTGAAATGATCCAACCTCCCCCAGACTTCAACAAAGCCTTGTTGCTATCCACACTTCTTGGTCCGTTAATCCCTACTCCCGTCTCCAAACATGGCGTATGGGACAAACACATACTGTTATACTGATTGGGTGTTGTCATTCTAACTTAAGCTTTTTGTTCATGTTGCAAGTCGACCGGTATATCCCGAATGTCCATATGTCCCATTAAAGTTAGTTGTCCTGCATCTACTTGCCAACGTGTGTGTCACGTGATGGTCAGCATCGTCAGAAACAACGTCAGTAAGTTGATTGTGTCCAGGGCCCACTTGCACAAAGCGATCTTAGCGCTAAGATGATCGTAACTCCCATACTTTAACATAGGCTTACGATAATCGTAGCGCTAAGATAGCTTTGTGCAAGTGGGCCCTGGATGTGCTTCGCTACCACTGTGACGGATCTACACGCCGACATCTATCACTCTGACGGATCTACACGCCGACATCTACCACTGTGACGGATCTACACGTCTACATCTACAACTCTAACGGATCTACACGCCTACATCTACCACTGTGACGGATCTACACGCCGACATCTACCACTCTGACGGATCTACACGTCTACATCTACAACTCTAACGGATCTACACGCCTACATCTACCACTGTGACGGATGCAACGCCTACATCTACCACTCTGACGTATGCAGCGCCCACATCTACCACTCTGACGGATGCAACGCCTACATCTACCTATCACTCTGACGGAAAATATCATTCAACACAACACACCCTGTGTCTTCCCCTGTTCTCGGTGCTCGTAAATGATAACCTGGTACAGAGGGCTCCTGTCAAGCGCCATGTTGATTTATAGAGGACTTGGGGCCATACCAGGCAGCGGGAAGCCGAACTTGGAAATTGTGACCTGCGGCCATTGTGACAACTACTATTGTGACTAGTCCTATTGTGACTACTCGTAGCGCCCGCTGTGACAGCCTCTAATGTCATGTTGACTACTCGTAGCCTTCATTGTGACAACTCGTAGCGCCCGCTGTGACAAGCTCTAATGTCATGTTGACTACTCGTAGCCTTCATTGTGACAACTCGTAGCGCCCGCTGTGACAAGCTCTAATGTCATGTTGACTCCTCGTAGCCTTCATTGTGACAAGTAGCGCCCGCTGTGACAAGCTCTAATGTCATGTTGACTACTCGTAGCCTTCATTGTGACTACTCGTAGCGCCCACTGTGACAAGCTCTAATGTCATGTTGACTACTCGTAGCCTTCATTGTGACAACTCGTAGCGCCCGCTGTGACAAGCTCTAATGTCATGTTGACTACTCGTAGCCTTCATTGTGACAACTCGTAGCGCCCGCTGTGACAAGCTCTAATGTCATGTTGACTACTCGTAGCCTTCATTGTGACAACTCGTAGCGCCCGCTGTGACAAGCTCTAATGTCATGTTGACTACTCGTAGCCTTCATTGTGACAACTCGTAGCGCCCGCTGTGACAAGCTCTAATGTCATGTTGACTTCTCGTAGCCTTCATTGTGACAACTCGTAGCGCCCGCTGTGACAAGCTCTAATGTCATGTTGACTACTCGTAGCCTTCATTGTGACAACTCGTAGCGCCCGCTGTGACAAGCTCTAATGTCATGTTGACTACTCGTAGCCTTCATTGTCACAACTCGTAGCGTCCGTTACACCAACAATGTGACTATTGTTTGTGTGAGTTTGGCAATTCCAAGTGTCCTAATTTATTATTACTGTCCCCTTTGTGTGTACCGTTTATTATGCCGAAAGTATTCTTATTTTCAAATTGGATATTACAACAAAGGCAATGCAAGACAAGTTGTATCCACGATCCCATCAAAAGGCTACAAAAAGTTCATAATTTAAAAAGTAATTGTTGCCATGATTTTGAAGAGTTTACATCATGTAAATTTGGTGCTATGTTACAAGGGGATTACATTAAATCAATCAGAAGTAATAATCAAGTCACAAGTATTCCCATTCTTGATACTTGGAGAATACAAGTGGCCATCGGAGAGCATTACAGGGTGGATACATGTACAATTATCAAAGCCAGTTGTCTGTCCTGTGCTGAATGTCGTCCCGAAATAGATGGGTGTATGATGTAGCACGGACATGCAAAAGACCTCCTGATTTATTACTTTGAAAAATCTTTTCAACAATAATAATAATGATAATAAAAAAAGTAATGATGATGATGATGACGATGAAGAAGACGATAATAATTATGATAATAAGAATAATAACTTCATCCCGGTAAAAGCATGCGGCTGCACCCTTCATGCCCTTCTCCGTCGCCGAGTTGCGAGACGCAGTATCCCCACACCTCCTTCCCTGAACCGGTTTGGAGATCCCTCTCCTCCCAGGTAACTGGCAGGGGGGGGGGGGTGCAGCATGAGTATAGACTGATGCATAAAACTCCTCTAACATAGAACCGCATTATGACAAAATGCACTATTAACCAGGTATAAAATGTCTATCGCATGGACATATATAGCGTGGACAGACCTGTTGTGCGAGGCTACTTTTCGTGGTTCACATTCAGATTGCCGTACTGATTCCACATGCGGAATATTTACAAAGGAATTGTATTATTGTTTTGGCCTGGTATACATTTCTATGGAAGGGCACACTTTGTCAATATCTAATAATATTGACTTTAACAATTACATATTTTTATATACAAATAATATAAAATACGATCAGTTTCCTATATCGAGTGCTATGTAGTAGTTTGTTTAGAGAACACATTCTAAAAATATAGTCTTTCTTCCAATGATAAAAGTTAGTTACGAAAGATATGTCAACTCACCTCGCCTGCCATTGCTCGTTACACTGAGAAAGTTTCCAGTTAAGAATTCCGAAATAACCCGATTCACTTGACGCTCTCCTCCGAAATAAACTAAATTAGGAAAGTCACGGAAATTACAATGACCTCCAACCAATCAAAAGCATCGATATGTGTCACGTGACACACATATACGAATAGGACCTTTCAATAACAAGGTCTGGGTCACGGTACGATGAGCACGGGCAGTCTTGCATCTGATGTCGCTGGACATATTGTGCAAAGGTGGTATCTGCGTCGAGGAGGATTGGTTTTATGAACGACTGAAAGACATGCATAACATTTTGATGCACATGTGAGAACAACAAAAGACAAAGGTAGAAGCCAACAGATAATTGGAGCTGATAGGTGGTTGGCAATAGAAAATGGAAGCCAACTCGTAACAGTAACTAGTGCTGATTTACAAATGTCTCGTTTACCTGAACGCCACACAACGTTGCCCGTGTATATATTTGTGCATAAACTACGTTGTTGTTGTGCTAAATGATAACACGAATCCAGTAAACATACAAATCTATTCAATGACAGTATTAATAGTAAAAGATCAACACCTATTGATAGTATTCATGTGTGAAGCTGTGAAAAGAGGAAGTTTTGTGAAATGGTTCCGCATAAAAATATACCTAATATATCTCAATTTGTATGTATATAATCTGATTCACAATAGCATTCCACGCGTGATAAGCGCGCTCATCGATCATTGTTAAAAGCTGGCGACAGTGTAGGTATATCTCGGAGACGCTCTCGGTGAGGTGACACTCGCTATGCATTTAAGGTGGGTATGGAGTTTAGTATGTACATACGGAGCTGTGATGTTTATTTCTTGTGTGTATCACTCGACCTGGAACCAGCAGAATTTCTGCATTTGTGCACTGAGGACGAAATAGCAAGAATACTGCTGTGCTGGAATTAGGCAACAAACGAACACTAACTTTTGCATACAAATTGTGTGTATGGTCGGTGATATCGGTAGAGCAGGCCACGCATACTCTTGGCGAAAACCTAGGGTCATCATTGATTCTTATTGATCCATTCATATAATTTTCATAACTATTTTGTTTTTTTACGCCCAATAGAATCTGTTTCGGCTGGTACTCGAGATAGATATTCCCTTGCGTTCATATCATCTTCAAGAAAATACAACCGACGGTATCAAAGACGTGTCTCCATAAACATCGAACACCAATGCAATGTGTTGTGATGGTAGACACAGGCAGGGTGGATTTGTCCTGCGGGCAGGCTGTTTTCTTGTAGGATTATAGCTAATGGGTCGGGTATCGTCCTCGTAGGCATGTACAAGTGTCATCGTGTCTACAGACACACAGAGAGTGTGTGTATATCGTGGCATACATGTAGCTGAACTTGATAATCCGACTGTGCTCACATGTCGCGCATTTCTAACCATTAAGGTTTAGGTATGCGTACAGTTTATGGGAACACCACGAATAACTGCGTTGAGGTACTGCAGTGTTGAGTCGACAACCGACACTCCACACGCAAGACACAACGATCAGTGAAGTGGGAAGACATTTTATAGCTAAGTTTAACAACATGGCGTGCAGTGACATTTTAAGCCTCCCATTCGTCATCGTAAAGACTGAAATGTAAGCTACACTGCCAACCACAAAAACTACATGTGCATGCTGTCCTCACACCCCCAGAAGGGCAGGGGCGCAACTAGGCTAATTTTAAGAGTAAGCAAAAGTTTACGAGTGCCCGCAGGGAGGGTTAAAAAAAAAGATGCTCTTAAACGCTATTCCCTGCATTTCTGGACCGTTTATGTTAGATTTTATGTGTAACAAATATTATTATAACTTTATAAGGAATATATATATATATATATATATATATATATATACGTGTTTCACCAACGCTTTTTCGACGTATATTCAAGGAACATCTCTAATGAAAAATGGAATTTGAACATTAAACCAAATCGATAATATTACTTTGATGTTTTTTTACGTGTTGATTCGTAGTATGTGATGGTTATTTATATTTTCATACTTATAACGCGAGCCTGCCTTTCATTATAATGAAAAGAAATGTGTCAGTGTGGTTTCCGGTGTGTGTGTGTGTGTGTGTGTGTGTGTGTGTGTGTGTGTGTGTGTGTGTGTGTGTGTGTGTGTGTGTGTGTGTGTGTGTGTCTAAAATTAAATAAGACTTATATTGTACATATTTTTCAATTGGATCAAATGCTGACCAAATATCATGTGTGAATGTGTTGTCGTGTGTGTGTGTCAGCATGGGGCATGATCTAACGCTTTCAGCCTGTCTCCATTGTATTGCAGGTACATCTACAATGCGTATACTTCTGTGGCTGTCGCCAGCTACACGTCCCTTCATAATCAGAGCGGTAACTGCCAACATTCGGGTTTAGCCACCTCTGAGCCGCTCCATCCGGAGGAATAAGAGATAACACAGACCACTTTATAAATACGTCTGCAGTCAAAATAGAAGCATTCGTAAAGTTTAATAAGACCCAAGTTATCGTTGATATGAACCTGATTACGTTTATCATCTAATATCTATTTGATAGTATTTAACTGGCACCTATCGAACTATAGTTGCGCTGGGAATGGGATAAGTTGAGATATGCATGCAGACATCGGACTTTCCGTCGTATGACGACCACACCCTGTTCTAATAGAATTCGGATATAAATTGGGAAATAAAATTGTTCCTCGCTTTCTTCTTTAATTAGAGTTCATATCAGGTTACTGTTCAAGAGTTTATCGCTCATCATTGCCATACGGGGTTCAGGGGTAGCAAAGACCGCCTCCGTGGTCTAGTGGTAGAGCGTCCGCCCGGAGAGCGGAAGGTCCAGGGTTCGATCCCCGGCCGTGTCATACCAAAAGACGTTAAAAGATGGTACTTGTTGTTACCCTGTCTGGCGCTCGGCATTATGGGGCTAAAACAAGGACTGGTCGGCTCGGAGTCAGTATACTGTGTCTGAGTGGGGTATTCATGTTAACTGCGGCATGGTATCTCAGTGTGCTAGCACTATAAATCGGCATCAATACAAGCAGCCACACACACACATACACGTACATGCACGTCGCTATATAAGTGCAATAATCTTGGACGCGACGTTAAACCCCATTTCACCTCACCTCAGGGTTAGCAAGCTGGTACGCGTTGGTATGATGGACCATCTACCACCTGATAAATGTGTTATGGTGGACAATATTCTAGTGTCCCTATGATGGACCACCTACCAGCTGATAAATGTGTTATGGTAAACAATATTCTAGTGTGGCTATGATGGACACCTGCCAGCTGATAAATGTGTTATGGTAAACAATATTCTAGTATGGCTATGATGGACACCTACCAGCTGATAAATGTGTTATGGTGGACAATATTCTAGTGTGGCTATGATGGACACCTGCCAGCTGATAAATGTGTTATGGTAAACAATATTCTAGTGTCCCTATGATGGACCATCTACCACCTGATAAATGTGTTATAGTGGACAATATTCTAGTGTGGCTATGATGGACACCTGCCAGCTGATAAATGTGTTATGGTAAACAATATTCTAGTGTCGCTATGATGGACCATCTACCACCTGATAAATGTGTTATGGTGGACAATATTCTAGTGTCGCTATGATGGACCATCTACCACCTGATAAATGTGTTATAGTGGACAATATTCTAGTGTGGCTATGGTGGACACCTACCAGCTGATAAATGTGTTATGGTGGACAATATTCTAGTGTCGCTATGATGGACACTTACCAGCTGATAAATGTGTTATGGTGGACAATATTCTAGTGTGGCTATGATGGACACCTACCAGCTGATAAATGTGTTATAGTGGACAATATTCTAGTGTGGCTATGATGGACACCTACCAGCTGATAAATGTGTTATAGTGGACAATATTCTAGTGTGGCTATGATTGACCATCTACCACCTGATAAATGTGTTATAGTGGACAATATTCTAGTGTGGCTATGATGGACACCTACCAGCTGATAAATGTGTTATAGTGGACAATATTCTAGTGTGGCTATGATGGACACCTACCAGCTGATAAATGTGTTATAGTGGACAATATTCTAGTGTGGCTATGATTGACCATCTACCACCTGATAAATGTGTTATAGTGGACAATATTCTAGTGTGGCTATGATGGACACCTACCAGCTGATAAATGTGTTATAGTGGACAATATTCTAGTGTGGCTATGATGGACACCTACCAGCTGATAAATGTGTTATAGTGGACAATATTCTAGTATGGCTATGATGGACACCTACCAGCTGATAAATGTGTTATGGTGGACAATATTCTAGTGTGGCTATGATGGACACCTACCAGCTGATAAATGTGTTATGGTGGACACCCTTCTAGTATCGCTATGATGGACACCTACCAGCTGATAAATGTGTTATGGTGGACACCCTTCTAGTATGGCTATGATGGACACCTACCAGCTGATAAATGTGTTATGGTGGACAATATTCTAGTGTGGCTATGATGGACCATCTACCAGCTGATAAATGTGTTATGGTGGACAATATTCTAGTGTCGCTATGATGGACCATCTACCACCTGATAAATGTGTTATGGTGGACAATATTCTAGTTTCGTTATGATGGACCATCTACCAGCTGATAAATGTGTTATGGTGGACAATATTCTAGTGTCGCTATGATGGACACCTACCAGCTGATAAATGTGTTATGGTTGACACCCTTCTAGTATCGCTATGATGGACACCTACCAGCTGATAAATGTGTCATGGTGGACACCCTTCTAGTGTCGCTATGATGGACACCTACCAGCTGATAAATGTGTTATGGTGGACACCCTTCTAGTATCGCTATGATGGACACCTTCCAGCTGATAAATGTTTCATGGGAAATCTTCCAGGAGATAATAAAACTCTGGTGGCGGTGGGGTAGCCTGGTGGTTAAAGCGTTCGCTCTTCACGCCGAAGAACCGGGTTTGATTCCCCACATGGGCACAATGTGTACCCATTTCCAATGTCCCCCGTCGTGATATTGTTGGAATATTGCTAAAAGAGGCGTAAGACCCAACTCACTCACTCACT